AATAAAGCACAATATATGTGTTCAGATTTACAATGATTTAGTTGTATAAACCGCATAAGGGACGCTTTTGATGTAAAGAATCTTTTTCGTATAACTATTATGCGGGTTGTTTACGGCGTGTTTACCAATATTCTTGCATGAATAATTTAACAAAAATATAAAACGCTGGAATTGGATACATGCCTTTTAGAGATATCCTTAAAGGTTTGCAATTTAAACTCCACTTTCTAAGCTAATCTAAGAAAATTAAATTTTACTTTTTCCCACTCTATAATGATAGTACATATTTAAACTGAGATGCTTCAATGTGAATATAATCAATAACTGTTATTCAATAATCACCCTTTCTCATTATATAAATAAAGAAGAAAACAACTACGGCTATACCTAACGTAATCTATTAGCAGGCAGTATAAGTAAAGGAAAATTAAATAAAAAATAAATAGGTACTTTTAGTCTATATTATTCATTACATTCTGGAATTTTAGAAGTATCAGTAAGTAATAAAAGTGTTTGTGAATTCACAATCAATATATAGACGATATGTCTTTGAACAAGAAAAAACCCAGAGCAGTTACTCTACTTCTGTGACCTACTATACGTCAGATCAACTAAGCACCGAAGTTTTGAGAAAAGATAATAAAAAAAACTGTTCTCATCCCTATGCAGGGGCACCCCAGTACCATCCTCTCCCTCTGGTCCGCATTCAACAAAGAGCGACTCGAATCGCCGATAGCCAAAAGATCTCCGATCGACTCCATCCCTTGGAGTTACGCAGAGAGTAGCTTCATTCTGCATTCTCTATCGTATATATCATGGAGGGTGTTCCGATGAATTGTTCGGACTAATACCGGCCGCAACTTTCCACACTGCAAAATTTTCATCCGCATCACTTGGATAATTGGCACTCTACCACTGTGCGCTTTATAAGACACTTTTGCCTGGCACGACCAATCTGTGGAACAAGTTATCGTCTGCGGTATTTTCGGACCGATACGACTTTCAAACCTTCAAGTAAAGAGCATACTCCTTTGTAGTGTGTATACTCCATAACTATTAAATATATGTATGGTCCTTAAGAATATTACTTTTGCTGATGTAACAATTTACCTCATAATGCGTATTATAATTGTGTTCACTGAATAAACTAATCTCATACGAAATGGTCGTACGTTTTACTTTCAAGTAGGCCCCCAACATTTGCGACCCTGCCAAAAAGGTCTCCCAAGTGGCTCATGTGAAGTATGTGACAATATTTCACTGTTCTATTTATTTCTTATGGAGTATACACACTTCACCTTCCCAAAAGGTCGGCAACGCGCTTGTGACTCTTGAGTTGGAGTCGTTCATGGGCGGCGATAATCACTATCCATGAGGTGACCCGTCTGCCGTTTGCCCCCTCTTCTATAAATAAAAATATGTCAGGATTGAGGTATTTATATATTACTGAAAGAAAGTGAATGCTTATATGTGGAATAGGGCCGGTATTATTATCCACTGTACGTTACAAAATAATTATGTGGCCTGCATATGTAATACTGGTTATTGCCTGCATCTTCGCTGGGATGATTATTTCTTATTTCGTGTTTCTAACTTTGAAAATCACGGACTTCCATACAACCGTTTACCCCTTATTGTAGCGGCTCAGCGGTGAAGTCTCCAAAAATCTTATCTTAGTGGAAGCTACAACATAAAAAGCATCGAGCAGCAAGTAAATTTCAGTCAGTCAGTCTGGGCAGGTAATGTAATATGTACGAGGACAGATTGCATTGAGTTCATTTTGTCAAAATAACATTGCCAGAACTTTTAGCAGTTGGTCATTCCACGACCACGACATTACACTTGGACACTGTGTGTTAAATGTTTGTATGATCTGTGTTTCGGAGTCTGGGAATTTTCTATGGATAATACGTATGTATTTACGATACGTTTTTATTTTTAAAATATAAGTATTCTATGAGCCAAGTAAATGCTATAATTAGGTACGCCATAGCTAATAATGTACCTATTAACAAATCACGTTGAGGAATCACCCGTCGATAACCTAAGTATAAAATGTCCAACAAGTACATAGTTTTGCAATAGCACTTTTGGGTCGCTGGTAGTCCCCAGTCGCTCTGAAAGCTGCGAACACATCGACACTGATTGGCTGCTTTGGGACTGATGCTATCGAGTTACTCTCTCTATGATTTAAACGAGAAAGTTTCCTACCATTTGAATACATTCGTTTCTTGAAATTTCCACGATATTTACATACACTTATTTCACTGCCTCGCTGGTGCAGTGGTAGCGTATGCGACTGCTGTGCTGAAGTCTCGGGTTCGATTCTCGCGTCGGACCAAATGTTTGTATGATTTGCAAGCATTTTTTTCGTAGTCTGGGTGTTTTCTATGTATAATACGTATGTATTTACGAACAATAAAACTATAAGTATTCTATATATAGCTAGATTGATATAGCTAGCAATCTAGCTATATATCGCGTCTACCAACAAAGCGAAAGAAACTTCATTCCGACCGGGGGACCCCTCACGCCGTTTTTTATTCATTATGTTTATGCCGTTTAAATATGTGAATAATTTAAGGTCACTTTATCGTTAAAGTTCGAGTGTCTTTAAATTGTGTAACAATATGAGGGACAATATTGCATGTTCCTACATATTGCAGTGGGAAATAAATGAGGCGAATTTTATGATAAGCGATAAAGATATTTCGAACATGTTTAATTGGCAATTTCATTCCTTGAATAAAAATACAAAAGTAATACTTATAAGATCAGGCGTGGGTGCGTGACGAGTGACGCTCAATGCGTGCGCGTCAGCCCCAGCATGGGATGTGAAGTGCATAATTAAATAAATTTTCCGAATTTTCCGAACTCGTTCACGGACGACACGAATTACGAATGCCACTTTTGGTACAGAGCGTATTTTCATTTCAGATGTTTTTTTTTAAAACGGGCACGTCCCTACTAAAAAGAAGAAACTATTTATTATGTTATTGTTATAGTTTATTATAGAACATAATGATTGATGCCTCAGCCTATGCTTGTCTACTGCTGGACATAGGCCTCTCCCAATGATTTCCAAACATAATGATTAAAATGATGATAAAAATATTAGAAATTATTTTTGCTTCAATTATTAATCTTTTTTTAAGAGCAGCTATCCCCACAGTAATAAAATTATTAAAACATCTAACCGACATGGTAGGCATAAATCGCTTGTCCATGGTAGGCATAGACCGTACTGGTTGTCCGCCAGATCCGGCCCCACCATCACGAGATGCTTGACGAGGCGCCTTGCAATCACTCTTTCAAAGAGCTTGCACACCTCATCAAGCAACACTATGGGCCGGTAGACGGACGGTGAGTCAGCCGGGCGCCCCTTCTTTCGGATGAGGACCAGTTTCCCCGTCTTCCACAATCTTCAGTTCCCCCTTGAATTACAACAAAGTTTACCTGAAACAGAAACAAACAATAAACAGAATTATCTTTTTTAGGTTACAATGGCCATTGAAAAATCATTTGCTACCGTAAGCCGTTGCTATAGTTCTGTATTCATTTGTAATATAATCGCCCGCATTTCTGACCCTTGTCGCTTATTGTAACTCTATATAAGTACACCAGCCTCCAAAGTCTGAGAAATGCATACAATAATTTGACTTATTGAACCTATTACCCACTTACCAATAATGCCAAAACTTGTATGAAAGCCATTTTAAGTTAGGCAAAACATTAGGAACTCCAATAACCGTTTACTAACACCCCGAAGCAAGTAGTAAAATATATGAAGGGGACGCCGCTTTTATACTGGCCTATAACTATGTTCAGGGTACACATAAGAGCAAGAACAATGCATATTAACTTGGAAAGTTAGCATGAAAACCCAAGAAGCACAAATTGTACAATTCGAATTTAAATTATAACCGATAACTCACGAGAAGAAATGTGCGTTATTAGAAGCCATATAAACAGATGGTTGGATTATTTTATTAGGCGAATGATACAGATTTGCGTGCTACTAAACGCTCAGATAATTATAATTAGTTTAATAGCACATTAATAGTTCAGTGAATTGATTGATAGATAAGTCAAATTATAGGCAAATAAGAATGATGCATACTGAAGCTGCGAATACAAAGGCGTCTTGTTGTTCCAGTTGTTTTTTTAATAAAACTTAGGCAGTAATGGCCCTCGTACCACCTGGTGGTAAAGTTCACCGGTGACTAGCTCACAGCACCGGTTGTATCACTTGAACTTGCCTATAAGTACCTGCTGCAACGTAGCATGTGCTTATTGTGCAATTTCTTTGAGCACTTCTCATAGTGCGTTTCCTCAAGACCGTAGTAACATATATATGCATTGGAATGCATATGTTAATAATATGACCCTCGAATTCTAATGTAGAATTATGTTACCGTTGCATTCAAAAATTCTTTCCGCAAGGACTTCAGTTGATACTGTGGTTAAGGAGACTTATTGCTTGGACTAAGCAGTTTTTCTTGGTCCTGGTGAGTACCTACCACCCCCCTTTAACATATCTTGTCTAAACGACCAAGTCCATTTGGAAATGGGGAGAGGCATTGGACTTCTTATTGGGCCAGGTACTGCAGGCGACTCAGGCGGCGGAGATCGCTGAATGCCTTCCATCCTGCATAGATGCAGGCCTGGAAATTTGGAGTCATCACTACCACACATATGGGCGCTAGAGGGACGCAGGGGAGGGGGCGATGTGATGCTTGCCCAGGGCGCTCTTGATACTTAATCCGCCTCTGGCTAAGATGAAGATGAATCATAAATTAAAATAACCAAATTTCAATTATAACTCATTTAATCTCTTAAAAATATTATTTTAATCATACACATATTATAGAAATATTTTATCTAAAAGTATTAAAACAAACATTGGACGGTTACATTTGTGGTAAAATACACAAAGTGAATAACATTGCGTACACAAAATAAAACAACGGTATTTATTTTGTACAACTTAATTTAAACAATCACAAACTTGTTTCCAATTGTGATCGCAAACTGTTTAGTTTGCTCTCAACGAAATCCAAGTCGTTAATTCTTTCCAAAGTATTTATATTAGAAGGTTGGGTCACATTTGTAGTACTGTCTTCTAAAGGCATTTCCACAACCGTTGCATATACAGGAATATTCCAGAAATTTTTCGATATGGTTGTATTCTGACTATTAATATTTATACTTAATACGTTTTTTGTATCATTGTTTTTTTGCAGGACTCTACTTCCTTGATGCGTGTGCTGGGACATTTTTGAAGTGGAAAACATGTTTGTCATATCGTTCATTTGATTCAGTATATCTGTAACAAATATGGCTAGTAATTATGTTCGTTAATTACGTTAGATGAATATGGACCCCCCTGTCCCTCTACTGACCCTCTGGATAGTGATGGATTAATTTAGTCTTACCACTCATATTTAATTGTGAATTCTTAATTAGTAGTTAGCAAATTAATTGTAGTCGTGAAATTCGCACACTCACGTAGTGCGTGCTTTCTCATTCGCATCAACGTGAAGGCCAAATTTAATTTAATAAATCGTCGTGCTAAAATATTAATACAATTGCTAAGCGTGACGTGTGCGTTGTATATAGATATTTTATGAATAGATAGGGATATTTTTTATAAATAAATACCAAGTATTAAGTGACGAATTGACGAAGGCTAGCATATCGCGAACAAACCCTGTTATGCATCATTTCTTAAATAATGTTGGAGAAAATAAAATATAGCCACTTTTGATCGCGAAAATCGCGGTGAGTTAAATTATAATAAAAATAAGTTAGTTATGTAAAATTAGTAGTAGGTAAGTGATATATACAAGTTACGATCGTTTTTCATTTGCAATATCATTAAATAATATTAGCAATTAACGTGAAAAGACATAAGAATTCGCAATTAATTAAATTAAATCAAATTAGCATTAATGCCCATTACTACCACTAGGTATCAGGTTTGGCTCTACATCCCACCCTACCCTTATAATCTCGCGCGAGTTTTAAATGCGTAATGTTTTTTTAAAGGCTACTCCAACACTCGGAATAAATCCTGTGTCACGGAGGACTTTACAAACATACATGAAACGGACACAAAGAACAACCGAACTCAGAACAATTTGCGGATCACACAAAGTGTTGACCCATGTGGAGATCGAACCCACAACACTCAGTGCAGTAGGAAGCGGCGAGGTGACGGCCATTGGTCTTAATTGCGTTAGATTAGGTTTTTTTTTCAATAGAAACAATTTGTTACTATAATAAATCCTGTAGGCAGAAGACCATTAGTAGAATAATGTTCAATTATTTTGGAAAGAAAATAATAATCTTGTAATGGTATTGTTGTTCATTTTATGTGAAAATTATTGATTTTTTGTACCAACATGATGTAGTGGAAAAAAGGTTATGGAATGAAAGATTTAAATGTGGACATACCAGTAATTTGCAAACTCATAGTTGCATCCATTTGGGCTTCATTGTCATATGTTACATTTTTATCTATAGTCTCATTAGTCATAGTGGGTATTTTGTATTGTCTGTTTAAAACCGCTTTCCTCAGTGATGGTCGCTTTATCGGCGAAAAATTATACAAAACACTCATTGAATTTTCCCTCAATTTGTCCAGATTCTTAATTTGTAATGCCACTTCGGAAGTAACATTTGTTTCACGACTTTCATTGAACAAACAATCCAATTGAACAGAAAAACTAAGTTCAGTATTCATTTTAGCTTTAAAACGCTTTGTTAACTTTGATAAGGGTATATTTTTTGTCGAAGATCGTACATTAGTTCGCCCAAATATACTTCGGGACATGTTATTCGTTGCTTTTCTTGGCGAGTTGACATAAGTCTCAAAATTCTTTAACACTGTGTGAGTGGCATTTTTAAATGCCTGATGTTGTTCTTCTTCGCCTACTTCGTATTCAAGTAACTGATCATCATTGTCTTTAGGACAAAGTAAGATGTGAATTCTATTGATCAATGTGTATAGTAGTTTTAAACGCTTTGTAAGTTGATCCATGGATACTTCTTTTTTGTTAGTGGGCATTTTCACTTCATAGATAAAATCGTCATTGGAACTCAGCAGGTTGCTTACAATTTTGCATTCTTTCTGTACTGTAACATTTAAAAACACAAATAATAGTAATTTCAACTGCTCATGAAATACAGAAAGGTATTTGTCATAAAAGTTCTGCAGTAATGTTTAGTAGGTATATCATCAAAAGTCTCTAATAGTCCACTGCTAGACATGTATCTCTTCTTAGAAAGATGGTTTAGGTCTACTATATCACGCAGGCTAGACGGGTTCTTTTAGGGTTTGTGTCAAGTTTTCCTTCTCTTTGCAGTGCTGTTGTTCTGCATATTTGCTTCCTTAGTCAGCACCTACGACGCCCCCGGGATGAATAGGAGTGGTAACACTCTGTATTCTTAATCCGTCACCACACAGATAAAGAAAGTAGTACCTGGATGAAGTACAGAAATAAGAGTAAATAATACCTTTATCCAAATCCGCCACTAAAATCATCAGCTTGTCGTGATGGCTCAACGCATCAGGTTCGCACTTATCATATACGAGAAAAAAATCAAGCACCATACAACCTATGTTAATCACTGCACAGACGTCAGTATTCTTGTATATATTCTCTTTCAATATAGTCAACAGTTTGTGGTGCATCATCTGTTTTGATTTCTAAAATAGTAAGCAAAGATTGTCTTTATGATTTATGAGCGATACCTGAAATTTAAGCTTAGGTATGACGACAGTAGACAGTACAACAAAAACCAGGCAAGAAACCCATACCACATAGTAAAGAAGGCTTAGAAATGCTAATTGCTGTTGAGCCCCGCATGGCTGAAGAAAATTCCTCTGATGAGGAATCTGCCGCAGACAATTCTGACAGTGAAAATAAAGAATAGTGCTCTAGTGATGAGACGTGGGACTTTTCATCGTAAATAAAAGAGTGTTTCTTTTTTGGTTTTCAAATAAAGATTATGTAAAATTAAACAATTGCCTTAAACAATTATAATAAAACAAAATAAACTATTTAGAATAGACATAAAATACAGAAAATAATTTTGGCCGCCTAATTTGCATGAATACCCTTGTGTGCGTCGTTAGGAGGAAAATAACGTTGACTAATTAAAACACAAAATAAAATAATTTAAAAAATATTGAGATATTTCGTGGTCTCATTTGATAGCTTTAGATCGTAGGTAAGAACAAAGAATTCACAAAACCTAGTATTAAATATTAGAATGGGAAACTGATTTCGAGTCCAATGGCGTTACGGTAGTGGATAGCTTGCGATGAACTTTGAATATACTGATGTTGAGCTGAAATATAGAATAATAGACATTCATCTTTGAGACTTTAACTGACTAAAACATTTCGAAACAACTCACCTCAGCGAATGCTGTTGGATCTACAATTAAATAAATACTGTCACGAATCTCTTGAACTTCCTGCGTCCAAGAGTTTATTAACAATTTAGCATGATGGCTGTAGGCAGACATCATAAGAGCTGGTACCAAGTGAGGATCTAATGCTTCTAAACTGGCGAGACCGCTGCGCAGAGTTAAGATCCCTGAAATCAAAGTTTAGTTACAATTTAGAATGTTAGGAATTGTTTATCTATGTAATGCTATCTACTATGATTTATACCATAAAATGATTGTTTCGGATCCAGATAAGGAAAGGGATACATCAATGAATAGATTTTTAAGTAATTCTAATTGAAACAAATTTCTTCTTTTGGCTTAATACTGAAAACAATAACCGCTTTAATATAGATGACTATTATAGCTAATAATTACTAAGTGTTTTCTACTTAAACATTTACAAGTAAAATCTCACAGCACACAGTAAAATGCCACATCGTAAATTGTATAATTTTAACTCCGTCCATTGAATCTTTATCATCCATCATCATGACATCTCGTCCATTGAATATTGGATAGTTCATATACCCTATAGCTTCGGTTAGTTAAACTAACCGAGGCAACCGCCCGGGGTCTCGTACTATCTGGCGTGGTAGTTATCATGATGTTAACGATTTAAGTTCGGGGATTTACCGTGTTTCATTTCGCCTGGCATCGGCTTATGGTTTTATGTTCGAGCAGCAGTATGCGATGCGTTGCATTTTTTGTTTCAAGTATCATCGTTAAAACTAATTCAACAAAGACAAGGGCCTCGCAATGATCTACCCGCCCGGTGCCTCACATTGATCTACCCGCCCGGGGCTCGCATTGATCATGATGGGACCTCGCAACGTTACGGAGCTCTGTAATATCTTTGGTATTTATGTGAAATGTGATGCAGGTAATGCCACAACACAGTTTTGTAATTAAGAGTTTTACACTAAAATTATAAGACCAGAAATATTAGTGACTACTACTAAATCCATTTTCCATCAACGCTAACTTGTCGTTTTTAAAGGTAAAAGGTATAAGAATAAACTGGAAAAAATTCAAGCAAAGCTATACACAGTTCCGTTATCCAAAAGGAATAAATTATTGTAAAAAAAAAATTATTTATAAGACCATCATTAAGATATTTTTTTCAGCTGTTTCACAAACACAATTAGAGAAATGAAATTAGAAAAAAATATATTAACTTGTACTAAGATTAGATTAATTAGTAATATATATATTACACTTACTGTGTTGGTCAGAAGAACAGGATACAGCAAAATTCCCAACCTGCAGTAGTCTCTCATTGTATAAATCAAAATCTTTCACAAAAGAACAATTCTCAGTCACATCATCTTTACTTTTAATTAAGCAGGAACAAGGCTTTTTCGATTCATTACTAAAATGTTCTTTCAAAATATCTATAGCAGGCTTGCTGTAACTGAAACAGTGAACTACTAATGCGAGTAGCGCAGTATTTGTGTTTGTTTCTAACGAATAGAGAACATCTTTCAAAACATCAATTAAAACATTTACATTTGAAGGCATTAAGGGCCACTTGAGTGCATCTGGTGTAGCCTTTATACTAGAACTAAGGTCTCCTTCAATCAGTTCTCCTAATAAGGCTTTAGTTTCTCTCAAAACCTGTAATTACAATATTAGTTTGTGTAGTTTTCTATTATAGATTTTTTAATTCAAAATAATTTCATATTAGTACCTACCACTTGACAACGAGCTTTGACAATATGCTGATCATCATTGATGCAATATCTGCACAGAGTCATGGCTGACAAGAGGAGCTCATCAATGGAGACATGAAGCTCGGTGACATATTCTACCATCTACAATGTGAACAATACAATTGCAATTAACATTTTTTAAATTATGTTTTATTGATTTTAATGAATAACCATGTCCCGACTATACTACCCTCTCATGTACCAATTATGGTGCCTCTTCCTAATATGGGTTTACTGAATATTTAACTGACGAGATTCTTATGAGTGGTTCTGTAGGTATATTTCCACATTTTATTCAAACATCTCCGCAGGGAACTTGTGTCAAATAATCACTTTTTACATATATTTGACCACACTGCCACAAACACTTAGGATAATTCAATTTCCTATGGTGAAACAGACATTACTGCCTCTGCATTTTTTTTACGTAGTTTAAAGAATTAGAATGAGTTGCAAGTGTTCCTGAGCTGTAGTAGTCACTTACCATTTGCTGAACGTCTGCTCGTTTGCCCACTATAACAAGTGTTGCATGCTCTGATATTCATTCTGTACATAATTTATTTTCCGAATAAGTTGGAACTTTAGCACTTATTTTTATTACTGCTGCCATGAGTATTTCATACCAGCATTACTAATGCAGGCCAAATTGTATAATCCCATACTGAGTCTTTGATCCTGGCTTATACCACAAATAGGTAAGTAATTTGAGTTATGCATGAGTTAAAATAAATAACAACAAATAAACAGATATACAAATTGTAAATACATAAGAGATAACCAGGTGAATTTGAATACAATAAACTAAAACTTAAATACTAATAAGAATATTGTGAACAAGATAAAGGTTCTAAAAGCTTACTTCATTTTTCCATTCATCGGTGAATTGCTTAGCATCCTTAAAATCAGTTTGGTACACTGTATCAGACAGTTTTCCCAAAACTTGAAATGTGTGATCAATCCAATTGACAAAATGCATTGTAGAAACATTCATTGATTTATTAGCAGAATCATTGTGCTCTGTATGTTCAGTTTTCCAGTCCAAATAAGTTTCAATGGATAAAAGTCTTTTAATGCACCATGATAGTCTCTCCAGAGAACATTGTCGACTCTCCTATGTAAAAACAATTGATTTAAGACTTGTATCAACATACAAAAATAGAAATATCTAGCTGCATTTGCTTAAATACAGTGCCATGTGTACATTTATGGCCATATTTTAATTTATATGGCTATTTATATATTTATATATACATTCACCAATTAATATATAAACAAAATACATGACATCAAAAATATAACATTTACATAACTGGCTGGTGACTTTGTCTGTATGAAATTTTATTCATACAAAGTTCTATCCCCTATCATACTACGTTACCAGTATTTAAATATAAAAATGTAATAATTTTATTTTTATTTTATTTTGTTTTGTTCGGCAGACACAGTTAATTTTGCATCAGTAATATTTTTAGTATGTACTTTATTTTAATTATTTTACATATTCCTATTGTGCCTAAGGGTTAAATATACTGTAATTCGATTACTAATGATGAAAGTAGACGATTAACCCACAAAGTTACTTAGGCAGTATGTCTTCAGAGCACAGGGTTTAATCTATTTGAAAGCTGTCTCATATCTTACATAAAAAATAGTCCAAAACTTTGAATGTTACATCCTATACATTAGAACTTGAATCTACTGTATAATTATTATTAAAATAAAACCACCCAACTTATAACAATTATCTGTTACATATACAAGCCATTATGTCTTTGAGTACACTTGCCTAAGTGACCAAAGCAAACAATATCACTATCAAAATTCAAAAAGTATACAAATTTACCTGTAAATGAATTCTTTCTTGAGCTTCCAATTTAAGTACCTCAAATAAGTTTATCAAACATTTATTAATTTGATTTGAACAGAGTGTGTAGACCTCTTTGAGCCGCAATAACTCTTCTCCATTGCTTTCAAAGGACAACAACTTATTGTGTAAACCCAGTATCAAGGGGTGAATTTTGTCTAATATTAGACTCTGAAAAAAGTAATTCATCAAAGTAAGCATAAGTAGAAACACTAGCTACCTAACTAATACCTTGGTTGAATGTTAGGTAAAGCATAATTGATCCTCTAAACTCCTGTAATAAAAATAATGTTGTTGTGATTTCTTAATTTGTATCATGTGCCTAATGGAGATTTCGGTTGTTTTTTGTAAATGTGCTTTCTTTTTAAATATCCATGTTTATGCTCGGAGCAAGCAAAGGCGACTTAGGTATATTATTGCTACTGAACATATTTAAATTTTCTGATGATACTAAGAATTTACTAACTGCAGTAACTTTTTTTTAAATTAAACCAAGGGTTTCACAGTTGCTAACAGAGAACTTACGCCACGGTATTTTATTATAATTATAAAAACAGAATGCACATCGAATAAGATTTTTTTTTATTTCCAAGACATGAAGAAGTTTACCAATAAATGTTTTGTTGCCCCACGAGTATCTTGTGGTATACAATTTAACTCTTGGAAACTTTCTTCAATACCTTCCATGTGTACAGCTTTAATGTTTATAACCTGAAGTAAGAAAACGCTTTTTTTTACATTTTCTAGTAATCTTTACTAAAATTTAAAAATAACCGCAACTCTCGGTAGGTACCGAACTGTTTAAAATTGAGTGACGCTGTAAAGACTGTGTTACCAGGAGATAAACAAAACAACCTGTCCTTAAATTATAAATGCATTGCTCACAAAATTAAATAAAAGCATCACTTCTACAATTTCTCAGTTAAGATTAAATCACTCATGCACTCCAGTGTAGCTTAGCAAAACTCAGACTTAGGGATAGCTCTATCTGCGCGAACTATATATTTTTCATTCTCTCAGGCCAAAACCAGGTTTCCTATTTATGAACTCATTTCTCCTCATATTCCTCATCCTACGTCTATTAAATTACTCCTATCATTTATGTTTAAAGTTATACACTTGCCTGGTGTATAACTTTAAACAAAATTAACTTTTAGATTCAATATCACAGTGTAATAATCATTTTTGTTTTACTGGTTATTTCTTATTTTGTATGTGTGTATATATTACAAGTTGTGTATATGTAAATATTACTAGTTTTATCATGACTGTAAAAGTCAAGAATTTATTCATGGTCGAGTTCTATTGCCGCTCAAGTCACACATTTGTGTGCATGAACATTTAATGTTTGATAAAATGTTTGTATTTACAAAAAAAATAATATATTATGTATTTATATCAGTTGTCTAGTACCCATAGTACAAGCTCTGCTTAGTTTGGGACTAGATGGCGTTGAGTGAATGTGGTACAACATTATTTTATTTTTATTTTTCTTCCTTTATCCTCAAATATATTTTTTTGGCTCTACCACACCTCCACAGTCCATTAACTGTTTATCTTTGATTTAAATACTTGGCAAAATTGTGGTTACATCCTACCATAAAGCCATTAATCAAAAGTTGAAGTTGAATAAATGCATTGCATTAAAACAATAAAACACAAGATATTTGCACAAAAAACGATACTTGGGAGCTTTGATATTGACATTATGGACACAAAAATTTATGAGACTTTTCAGACAATTTTTAGTACGCCAAAAAACCTTAGAGAAGTTTATTATTTCGTTTTTATTCCTTATGTCTTTTTTATTTATCATTGTTACCTCGAGTTTTCAGGTTGACTCCCTTTTTTTAAGCTGAAATGTGTTTACCGTCTAGTAAAATCTCATCATTAAAAGTAGTGGTTTATCAAAAAGAGTAATACTGGGGATATTGAATTAACGGATTTTGTCACTGATTTTCTACACGTTAGAATCTCATCTACAAATTCTATTTGATTTTAGGTGTTACCACAGGTCTACATAGAATACTTTTTGGCTAGTCAACAAATTCAAAAACGTGTTAATTCTTGATAAAGCTCCTAAAAGTATGAGCGATGGCTCATTCGGTTCGAAATGACGCCTCAAAAATATGTATTGGCTCATAAAAAATTGCAATTGTTAATAACAAATTAAGATGAAAAAAGATAGCATTTCGTTTTTGTTAATAACTCAAAAATTATTAACATTTAAGAGATTTACAAAAAAAACCTTAAAGAGAAGGAAATATCTAAGAAAAAGGTCCAACTTCCGGAACTCCATGTGGGGGATCAGTGCAAGTAAAACCCAATAAACGATGATATCGAAACACATTTGATATGGATATTTTATTTTTAACCACCTATGACATGTACAATTCAATAGTCAGTTGTTTTTACTTTTGACACATATAGCTTGTAGACAGGCATAGATAGTGGCTACGGAGGTGTGCAACTCCTTACGTTATCACACTCCATCTCTATTATTGAAGTATAATTTTAATTCAACGCCGAAAATAGGGCTCAGCCCAGCCTAACGACATAGGCGCACTACCGCTAAACATATAGCATCAAGACACTTGAAAGAATAAATTCCCGTTGAAAAAAAAAATTGTCAATTTTTCAAAAAGTTTTACTATTGTTAATTTTTGTTCTATCTCTGTTATCTTAAATAACTACATAAAGGTTTAAATAATTTATCTATAACTTTTTGGCTTCATGAAGCTATATCTTATACATATACATAACAAGATCAGGCGATAAAAGTAAATTGAAGTTTTTTATTTTGCTTATAATGATTTTTTAAAGCTAACCAAAAATAAAGTTCTTTTTATTATTTTTTAAGCCAATTATATGAAAATTGGTATTTTACTAAAAATAATTCCAATAAGACGCTTGTACGTCAAAATTGACGCGGCTAGCGCGCCGGCGGCCACTGGGTGTGTTTATTTACGATTGATGTATATTCATAAAATATTTACTTCCAATAAACGATAAATTCAAATTCTTTATAATGGCAAAATTAGGCAAGAAAAAATACTATAATATTTTTACTAATGCTTTGTAGGTATTTTCGCCTCCCTCAGGTTGACGTCTGTCATGTTAATCAAAGAACGCCATCCATTGTTATTTCGATTCCGGAATTTTACAGAAAATTTGTAATCTACAGGTTTTAGAAAGTACACAATCATGAGTGAATTAGTTTGGGGAATCAAAAACGGCGACATAGACCAAGTTAAAGACATAGTAGAGAATAAAGTAAGTTAACCATAAATAATCTACTTGAATATTTAATAATTTGTTGGCAAGAGAAAGCGAACATTAACATTAGTCTATTTTTTAATATTGAAAGTACAATAACCTCATAATTTTTTTAGTTACCGTTGTTTAGCTGTTATTTATATGAAATCGATAATAGTTAAGAAACCGGTAAGTATAGGAAATTGTCGCCCTCCACTGTTTTGAAAGAGGTATCTGCTATTATGTTCTGATATTAGCAGTCGTAAAGAAATAATATTATAATTCTATCTTTTCAGAAAATTGATGTCAATGCCCTGATCGATGGAAGGGTACCTCTTCACTATGCAGCAGATTATGGCCAAACAGCTGTTCTCAACTACTTGCTGGACAAGGGTGCAGATCCCAATGTAAGATCTAATTCATACAGATCATAATAGTTATAAAAGTAAGTGTAAGAAAATGGTTTTAACATTTAACATTTTTTACTATATTGCAGATGTTAGACAAACATGGCATTTCTGTATTATTAGCAGCTATTTGGGAGGGCCACACAGACTGTGTTAAAACATTACTCAAAAATGTAAGTAACAATTGATAACATTTATGTAGAAGTTGGCATTTTAATTTAAGTCTACATACCATTTTGCAAGACAGTTCTCATTATTATTTCAGATTGAATAACTATAAATCAATCTATTACACTTTTTAAGTTCATAAGTGTATTGGTGTCTTATAATTTATCTCTAGAACCAAACCAGTTTATGAAATCCATAACTCAATAAAACTATTTAATATTTTTAGTTTTTGAAAAACAATCAACACAATTAACTCTTATTTGTATTGTTATTTGTTATATTTTTCTTCAATTTCAAAACGAAAGTGAAAATTACATAATAGTGTGTAAGGTTACTGTTTTAAACATTTTTAACAGAAGAATTTAATCTTTCATGCCAAAATAATATATGTGACAATACAAAAAATCTTAGTTCCATATTTTAAATACAGAAAAATAATTAGTTATGTTAGGACTGTATTAACTTTTGAGTAAATTAATATAGTACCTATATAACTAATCATAAATTCATATTACTTTGTGTAGTGCATCACAAATGTTCAAATAATAATAGTTCATTTTGAGTTTTTATAGTTAGTTTAATCCTGTTATGAAATTTCAAGTATTTTTCTGCAATATATAAATACTTAAAAATGTATACTTGATATAATTAGGTGAAATTTATTAAGATATATTTTTGATTACAGGGTGCTTCTAAAGATGGAAAAACCCCAGATGGATTACCTTACCTTGAGGCTGCTGAAAAAGATGAGATCAAAGAACTTCTTACATAGAGTATACTAAGTTATATCAAAACTTGTAACAAGCAATCGCTCATATTTATGTTTTGATGCTAAGGTAAAATCACTATGATCAAACAATAAATTAACCCTTTATAAAATATTTTTACATGCATTTATTTACATTGTAATGAATTATTTTTATATGCTCAACATATAGAACTATAAAATATATATTTGATTATGCGTCCATTTTGTAGCATATGTATCATGGCCTGACCCTGTCTAGGGGTACCTTATGCCAATAACTTGAAATGCAATACTACTAGTACTAGTTCAAACTTCTAGTGCTTGCATGAAATTTTTAGGAAGCCCCATTATATAAATTTAGCAAATAAATTATTTAATATTAAGGTATAATTCCAACAAATAAGATGTAAACTTTATTGCTAAAATAAACTAATAACAAAAATCAACCTTTTATTTATTTATCACATAAAACCACACACAACTTACAACCATAAAACTTGTTTAAAAAAAATACAAATTGTATAATCATTCCTATTACAAAATAAATTAATGTGACATGGGTACTTCCCATTAAAGCCTTGCATCAGAAAAATCTTTGGTTTGTTTCTTAAACGAAAAAACCTTCAATAACTAAAGATCTCCATTTTTGGGGTATTTTTTATATTTGCTATTTTTAAGAAGAGGACAGTAACATGCATTTTTCTGTGCATCTAAATATGACTTGCAACCTAGTGTTAATGTGCCAGTGAACAATAACTTTGCTCCAGCTTTGCAACCTGAAAGACAAATAACCACATAAGGAGTTATGAACAAAATGTATATTGCAATTATGTAAAATTATTTAAACTTTAAAAGTTTATTAGCAAGATTTTGCAAATAAAAGGTAAAATGAGTATTTCAAGTTTAATCATGAAGTTTTTTATATACCTTTAGCAATTGTGTCTCCTGCTACATTCACAGACTTGTATGACTCACAGTAATTGTAAAGACATCTTTTAAATTCCAAATCGCATGACTCCTTCCCACTATTACATGTGTCATAGCAAATATCATGATTCTCACAACATTTTGTCATCTCTTCAAGAGGTAAATATTCTGTTGCAATTTCAAATCCCAGTGAACCACAGCCATCTGATTTTGGAACATGATTCCTATTGCGAACTGGTTTCTGTCCTGAAACAAATAGAACAAAATTTAGATTGTACTTCTAAAGTAATTAAGCATTAAGTTTATTTGTAACGTTAAGTATAATTGTAACATTTTGTCATTTTTTATATTTTATATTGTAATTTTTTATTTAATCTGTTTATTGACAAATGTAATTTTTTTTAATTCGAAATCAATTGACAATTATTGTAATCAATTTTTGCATGCCGTTAAGGTAGACCAAAGAGGACATGTATAAATAAAAATCTAACACTGTTGTACACCTTTGATCAGCAAATAAATAAATTATGAATTAGCAATTGTAAAAGAAAATACCTTCGGGACAAGCAAATATACATTCCTCTTCAACTGCGGCATCAAATATTTCATGAAGAGATCTAAATTTTTCAGCCACTGTTATGACATTTTTGAACATATCTCCAAATACCGACTCTGCAGACAATACTGCATCTTTTAAATTCTTTAACATACTAGAACCCATGCCAGTATATGCATAGGCTATAAAAGTTAAAGCGTATATCATGATCTTTCTGTAAGGTATCTCCATATTTACTAGTTAAATTCCGAATGGTCCCTAGTTAAACGATCTAACTATTCTTTTCAGAATATTAATAAACAGCCAATGGTGCTAATTCTGTTGTTGACATCACTAAACTAAAATTTCTCTAAAATTCTCTTATTTTAGTCAAGCGATGTTCAAAATGCTATTCTGTTGTTAGGTCGAACTAAATTTGGTGTTCATTTTGACAGCATTAAATTTGAATCTGACATCACTAAAAATTAAAATGGAAATGTTACCTTTGTTTAAAAATTAGGAATGAATGATATAGAGAAAGATTTAGAGTGAATTCATAAATCTTTTGAAACGATATTTTTAGGATTTTAGAATGCGTGTAAATGATTATTAATGCATATTATAGATCAAATAGTAAACAAAATGTTGTATTTTACAGTTATAACGAAGTAAATACAGTTTTACTTAGTTCACATAACTGGCAACCCTCTGTGCAGTCTCCGCAGGAGCCCCAGGAGGAACAGGAGCAACCGCAGCCTATATCCGGTGTCTCGGCAGTACCCGGCCCAATTCGTCGTCGGATTGTGCCAAGACGCCGCATTACGTCCTCCTGCCTACGACAACCTGTTACGTTCTTTGCAAGAAAGCAGTAACAGTTTACAAGAAACCATTAGACATAGTGCTGAAGTGATTGCTGCTGCTTTGAGAGACAGCAGTGCTTCTACATTGCGTGCTGCTGAGATCTTATCATCAGCAATTACTTCAACACATAATTCAAGTCATAGCAACAACATTAACCAATAGTAAAGTATCAACTTTTATTATTGGTTTATGTTATTGCTATGGGTGTATTTTTCGTAAACTGCTACTACTTCCTGCAAGAATAGCTCGTTTGATAACTTTGTCTAATCCATTTTATTTTATTTGTCCCTTTGTTTTTATTTTGTTGATTTTTTTACATGTTATTTTAAATTATTATTTGTTTAAGTGATTTTTATGATGATTGTTGATTATATAAATAATAAAAAACAGAGCTTTAATTAAACAATATATTAAAACGAATAATTAAACTGAGTTTGTATTAATTCTTCCCGAATCTGTCTTGCCTCTATCAAAAAATCTTGGTTTTCTTCCTCAACCACAATATTTACATCTTGTATTTCCACATCATAATGATTATCATCTGGAAATGAAGAACAGAACAGTAAAATGAGTTAAGTACAGACATGTATATATATGTGTGTATATGTTATAAGTAAATATATTATATACTGCCAACAAATAAATGAAACAATCAATAAATGAGTACAAACTTATTACCTAAAAGCCATTGGTTTCTCTCTCCAGACAAAAAATTACTTTTTAAAAAATGATTTATAGTTGATGCTCTCCAGATAGCAGCATCATGTGTTGAGCGAGGAAAATTTGGATTGAGCCCAATAATTTTCCCTTTTGCACTACACACCTAAAAGACAATTAGTATTTAAAATCTACACAAAATAATATAACTAAATTAATGTTAAATATGCAAAACCTAACTCAAATTAAAACTCTTTGTCCTGATTCATATACATTTGTATGGGTTTTTTTTAAATATAAAAAGGACTAAATTAAATAGATGAAATTAATGTTGTAATATAATCTTTGCCTCAGAAAATAATAAACATTTTGTGAATGCTATTGGAAGTTATAAAGAGTATGTATGTATATTTAGTATAATAATAGAGTATGGATGGAGTATGATACTCACAATCTGACAGTTAATACTGTAGAATCCTTTTCTATTATAGAAAAGATTTCCAGGTGCAGTAGGGTGATTTATAGATGGCTTTGCTATTGAAATATGTGTCTCATCTACTGCACCTAAGGTGTTAGGCATATTAAACAGCTCTTGAAATCTGAAAAGGTGAACACTATAAGTATTTCATAGATCTTATGATACTTAAGATGTAGAAATTGATGATTATCACCAAAACAATAATATATGGCTGTTAACTTATTCTGTCATTGCAATCAGTTTTTCACTCTCAGTCATGGGAAATTTTATACAATTAGGTAAAAGCTTCTCCACTATTAAATCTGCTGTTATTTTAATGCACCTGCTAACAGAAGGTTGGCTAAGTGCAATGAAATTGTCTTGCCCTACAGCAGCTTGGTAACTCCCTTGAGCAAAAAATTGAAGTGCAGATAAAACCTGAAAAATGAGTTCAATATGAAGAGTAGGTACAAGATAGAAACAATGGATTTATATTGTGCTCAATGTAATAAAGCAGACCTTTAGGTGTTTAGGTATGAAGCCTTCATCCAGGCGTTGATCATCGAGATCGCTGACTAATTGAAAAGTAGCAGATTTCAGAGTTTGCACAGTTTCTGAAATTTTTCCTCTGCCAACTCAAACGTATTGGAGTTATCTCGCATACGTTCTAAGCGTATTCGTTCTTGATAGTTTCTATAAATAATACATAAGTATGTTTGTTTTAATAATTCAGATAAGGCTCATAATTATTTGTGATTTATGATGAATAATATTATGCACATACCTTTCCGCTGAACTGACCAAAACCATAATCACGTAATCACATCATTTTTAAAAATTAATTCGCTAAAATTTTAAATTTTATACTTAAAAACTCTAATTATTAGGTTAGTCGGGATGTATTTAGCTAGCGTCTAATTTTAGTGTGACGTTTTTAATTTTAGTCAATTTTTGACGTTTAGAAAGTACAACAGAATAACAAATGAGCAAAAAAGGACTAAGTTGAGTAACTTAACTAATTTTGGTTGTGTCAAACTAAATATAGTTAAGTTCTACGTTGTCAGAATACGAAACGTTGTTTGACAGGACTAAACTAATTTTTAGTGATTTTTAGTTTAGTTTAGAGAGTTTACGAACAACAGAATTAGCACCAATATTGGTAATCCACGTAATTTAAGTCTTACGTGCAATAGGTACAAAAGTACAAATGTATCTTTATCACTTTGTTTGGACTAAGGCCAAAAGCAATACTTAGGAAAATGTCAAAATCAGATGTAAATGTATTAAGTTTTTAAATTACCAAGGGATTGACAAAAGTTGTACAACAACCATTTTAAATCGACTAAAAATTGCTTATGGTTAAATTTTACATATGGCAATGCATCTTCAAATTTCAATGTCCGGTAGCCATTTTGCTTTAAAAGCAATCCTTTTCCGTTTTGTTGTCGTGAAAATGACGGGCTTTAGCAATAAGGTGAGGAGATAAAATTATAAAAAAATGTGTTATATCTAAAAGTGCACTAATTATTAATTGTTCTCATGTGACGGTTAATATTAATTCATTTATCAAGCTTCTTCTGTGTAAAATAAAATAACATGTAGTGATCACGCTACGCACGTGTATGTCCGTGTTTAGAAGTTGGTTATGTTCTGTAATGTTTCCAACTGCTAAAACATTAGGCATCTAATGTTGAAATGCATTATAGTTAAGGATTTAGTTTGATAGCGGCTTTTCTTGCTAGTGTTCGAGTTTGATTGAGGTTATGCGGTACGTCAGCGGTAGAGTTAACCAGTGTGATTACTTGTGTTCCAGGCCATAGTAATCGATGGCCGCGGCCATCTCCTCGGCCGCCTGGCCGCAGTGATTGCTAAAGTTTTATTAGAGGGCAACAAAGTTGTGGTCGTGCGATGTGAGCAGATCAACATATCTGGTAACTTCTTCAGGTATGCCTTCTTTATCCACCTTTGTTACCACGCGCTTTGTTGATTGTTTCGCGGTTAAAACAATCAATTTTTAATACTTAGTTTATTTTCATTAACACATAAAGTATAAAAGTCGTCACGATACTTATGCACAAATGTTATTTTACCTATATCACACACAAACAATTTTGTTTGAATCAGGTAATTTGGAAAAGTAATTAAACTGTTAGTTCACGTAGCCTCCAAGTAAGCTATGGTTTGGATTAAGTATATATTTGCGTGGCTGGATAAAATAGAAATATTTGTCCCAAATGCCCACGTTTTATACATTTCGCTACAATCACTTTTGTGTCCTGATCCATGAAAGCCATTTCCTTAAACCTTGTGATGTTTCATTTGGGTAATTTGCGACTGAATTTTGTTAAAAAAATGTTGCTATTTATATTGAAATCTGATGTAATCACATAATCATTCGTTTTGTGTTAAAGTAATTTAAGACTACAATATAATTATTATTTTCAGGAACAAATTGAAGTTCATGTCATTCTTGCGGAAGAGGTGCAATGTGAACCCTGCCCGTGGACCATTCCACTTCAGAGCACCCTCCAAGATTTTGTGGAAGACTGTCAGAGGTAATTCTTTATAAATTTTGTAATACTGAAATGAATACTAAAGTTACAATTAGCTTAAACCTTACTGTGATGTACCATATCAACCAATCATGATACATGAACATGGAACAGAAGAAAATAGCAACAAATATAATTCATATTAGTATTCTATTTCCCTTCAATAAATAAAGCATGTAATGCACTATATCCTCTCCCAGAACAAATTTAACTCTGTGCAGTTGCAAATATTCATTTTCCCCATCTATAATCATTAAATATCCCAGGATTAGGAATATGATAATAAATACATCGGAACTTTGTTTTATAGTTTACTATTAAAATTAATTTTCGATTAAAGATTAGGACAATTTATTTTTCTGCAGTCAATGTTACAAAATACTGTCATGTATTTTAATTTAAAAAAAAGTAAATTATATACATTGAAGGCAGATTTAATTTTGTCCTATAAGGATATAAGATAAAACAAATATGATTAGTTAATTTATTTTAAACAACTAGCTTATGATTAATCTTTATTTTTACCTACATTATTTGATGTTTGTGATATAAAAACTTTGATGAAGCCCTTAATACACTAAACTGCATCTGCTTTGCTGTAAGATAAATAGTAACAACATCATTTGTACCCATAGGCATGATCCCACACAAGACAGAGCGCGGAAAGAGCGCACTCAGGAGACTGCGTGCGTATGACGGTTGTCCGCCGCCCTACGACAGTCGTCGCCGCGTTGTCGTCCCAGCTGCCCTCCGCGTCTTCTGTCTGAAGCCTGGTCGTAAGGTAGGCTTACACAATATTGTCACAATTACTATTTATAATCTGTTATAGTCATGTGGTAACTTTTAGTTGCCAGACAATCATGTAGTGGCATATCTACAACAATGATGTTTTTTTTGGGTAATTTGCGACTGAATCAATTAAATGATGCTATCTCATAAAGTTTCTGAGGTTCTAAATGTTTATAAAACCAAAATGTCTGATTCATTAAGTATTTAAAGTACCTTTATATTGACAGTATTGTCACGTCGGCCGTTTGTCCCACGAGGTCGGATGGAAGTACCGTGATGTGGTCCGCAAGCTGGAGGACAAGAGAAAGGTGAAATCCATCAAACGAGTTGCTTTCGAGAAGAAGCTCAAGGTTTGTATTATTACATAAAAGATTTGACAACTTTTTTTTTCTAAAACCATTAGTATGAATGGAAATAATAGGTTTAGAAGATAACAAGACAGCACTAATTAATATTGAGTCTTAAAACATTTATCTCTAAATTGAAATGATGATTGATATCTTACCTACATTATTTGAACAACATGAAACAAACTTTAAACTGAATTTTTATTTTGACTGGTTTTATGGAAGTGTGACAGGAGACCACATAAATGATGATAATATCTTTGTTGACAGAAAATCACCAAGGAATCCGGCGAGAAAGTTGCAAAGGCGACTGCGCCGTTTACACAAGTCATCCAATCCTATGGATACAATTAGGATTAAGAATATATAAAAAAATAAACCTCTGGTTGCCCAAAATGTACTTTTATTTACGAATCTTAGTTATTAATTAACCTTTAATGCACAAATTCATTTATGAAACTAGGAAACAGAAAATTTTGCTTTTTTCGGACTTGGTCCTCTTCTTAAAAGTTAGGAGTGTCACTGACACTGGCTTGGCCATCATCAGGGATTTTAATTTTGATAGAACAAAAATTTTGTCGATAAATTTCGGTTACTGGTTCAAAAGTTATAAAGGGTTTAGAGGTGGCTGACAGTCTCCTAGTGTGATAGTGAAGCTAGTTTTCTCCCAAATTTAGTGAGAATCAGTCACCCAATATTAGAATATACATACAAAACCGTATGCGTTGCCCCAGCGGAGAAGTTAGAATTTCAGTATTTGAGTTTAACAGATATTTGGTATATGACGTCGTGTAATTGTTATTCCAACCATTGGGAGTTATTCACGAAAAACCGTCACTTTTTTATCCTAAGTCACCCAATATTAGAATATACATACAAACCGTATGCGTTGCCCCGGCGGAGAAGTTAGAATTTTAGTATTTCAGTTTAACAGATATTTGGTATATGACGTCGTGTAATTGTAAATCCAACCATTGGGGGAGTTATTCACGAAAAACCGTCACTTGTTTTATCCTAAAGACGTAGAAGAAAAAAAAATGGATTTTAAAAATTAGTGTACGACGAGAGTTAATTGTGTATGTCTAAATAAAATTTGTGTCAAGAATCTCCGAAGACATTCCAGTTTCCGCTGTGATAGCGAGCTGTATATTTTTTCATATGTTGTTTTGAATTTGTTTATACTATTTTGCAATTTAAGTAATGAGTGAAAGGGACATTTCAAAAATTCATCAACTGGTTCTGAATAGGATAGAATCCTAGGTTTAAAATAAATTATTTCGCCTGCATCATTAAATGTAACATCTCAAAGTAGAGGCTAAATTGTCCGCCATTGTCAATTAATTTTTTTATTGATTTGATATCTGGAAATCAACGTTAAATATACTCGTAAATGATTTGACAATGATTAGGTACCTATGACCTCACGAAATAGTATCTCATACAAAAAGGTAAAGTCCATTTCACGAAAGAAGTCCCGCAGACGCAGCGCTGCATTCGCGCGACATAATGTTGTAAGGGTTAAATATGGGGAAATCAGGGGAAATAATTTATCGTTCACTTACTTTTATTTTATTAACTATTACGACTCGAATATTTACATAAGAAAAAAAATATTTTTAATGTAGGTACCTGCTTGATGTCCATACTGCTGAGGTGAGATTAGTGAAAAATAAATCTTCCTGTAATTTCTAAAATATAAAAAGGAGATGTTCGACCAACTTTAAATTAGAAAAATAAAATTACATTTAAAAGTTTTATTCAAAGTGTTATTGAATAATTATGATCGGTCATACTATGATCACTGTCAGAAGAGTGAATAGAAACAGAATCAGATTCTGTTTCACTATCACTAGCCGTGGATATAATAAATCGATCCAATTCTTGATCCATAAGACCATCATTTTTTAAATATTCTTCCTCCAAATGCTGTACATGTTTACATTGAGCTGCCCAATCTTCCGCTGTAACAGTCTCAAAAGCCTCTTCTGTTAGGCGTACAATTTCTTTTGGATCTTGGCCCACGTTTTTATCCGCTACCCGCCTTTTACAAGGCTCCACATTTTTTTGATCGGATTGAGATCGCAGTGATAAGGCGGCAATTTTAGAAATTCATGATTGTGAGATTTTAATAATGCATCCACGGCATATGTAGGTAGACCTTTGTTTTGTTTAATTAATTCAAATAATAAAGCTTTTGTCCAAGTATCTTCAAAATATACTGCCTTTTCTTGCAGCCATTCCTGCATGTCACGTTTAATACTTGACATTGTAGGTGCTTTATTTATTTAAGTGCAGTGATATGGAGCGTTGTCCATTACCACAAGTGACCTTTCAGGTAGGTTAGGAATGACTTTTTCACTCATCCATTTCAAAAAATTAGTTGAGTTCATGTCATTGTGGTAATCTGAGGATTTGGATTGGGATTTGAACATTAACAATGCACTATTAACAAAACCATTTTCAGTTCCCGCATGAGCAATTATCCAACGATTCCCTGATGACTCTGACACGAACATCCCAGGCTCTTCCTCACTTTGCCAGCAACTTTTGGCATGATAAGTGTTATGTATATAGGTCTCGTCTAAATACACTACAGGTTTTTTCTCCACATTGCGACTTCTTTGGATTCTCTCCAAATATCTTGAACGCCATGCGATAATATCATAACGTTCCATAAGTAATTTGCGTTTCGATTGGCATCGCTTGTACTTGAAACCGATACTTTGCAATATACGGTGCAATGTTGTGATGCTTCCTTGAAAATGTATGTCTTCTCTCAAAGCTGCACGTAATTTAGCCAATATTGGTAATTCCTTCCTCACAACATAAAAACTGTGAATTTTTTGCCGTATAGCGCACAAATCAAATCCATCCAAGTCGAACTTTTTGGTATGCGGGCGACTCTTCCCTGACGATAACTTTAGAAGTACTCGCCGCTGTTGCGCCTTCTTTTGTAATTCTCGTTACAGTTTTCTCTGACACACCTGCAATAAACCTGTCAAACGTGACGACGGCCGGTAGCGAGAGATCTGCTCCGATGACTGCAGTGAGGGCCCGGCGCTGCGTCGCCCATGCGGGGCAAACTGCCAGCGTGTGCTGGGCCGAATCCTCACTGCAGTCGCAGTGGTGGCAGGCGGGACTCGATTCCCTCCTAGCGACCGAGTACAGGTACTTTCCGAAGCAACCGTGCCCGGAAAGCACCTGCGTCAGCCGGAAGGAAAGGGTCCCGTGCTGCCGCCCTGCCCACTCGGCGATGACCGGCTGGAGAGCCTCCACGGCGGCGAAGCCAGCGCGTGGAGTCTCCAGCCGGAACGACCATCTGACCATGGTGGCTCGGCGAGCGGCTTCGCGCCACTCGCGCACGTCTTCGGGCGGAGGGCGAAATCCGCTCTCCGCCCGGAAGTCAGCCACTCGCCGATAAACTTCGGCGAGCACTTCTGCCTCCAAATCCCACGGGGGTGTTCCGGCCAAGGCGCAAGCCGCCTCGGTGGACACCGTGCGGTATCCGCGTATGGCTCTGACCGCCAATATCCTCTGGGGGCGCCAGAGGCGCGCCCTATTCGGGGCGGTCAGAGCCGGCACCCACACCGGTGCACCATAAAGCGCCATGGACCGGACAACCCCCGCGTACAGCCTCCTCGTGGGAACACTGGCCCCGCCCAAATTGGGCAAAAGTCGCCCTAGGGCGGAGGCAGTGTCCACCAGCTTCGGACCAAGCTGTCGGAAGTGCTCGTCGAAGAGCCACCTACCGTCTAGGACCAGACCCAGGTACCTCATCTGGGCCCGGACCGGTACGAGGACCGAGCCGACCTCGATTGAGGCGCCGGCGGGTGGACCACGACGGGGCCCATGAAATAATAGGGCCTCCGTCTTATCCAGGGCCACCCGCAAACCCAACGCCTCAATGCGCCCGACCACCAGGGAAACTCCCGTGGCGGCCAGGCGCGCCGCCTCCTGGAAGTTAGCCCCCCGGGCCGTGACTAAAGTGTCATCTGCGTAGCAGAGTACACCCAGCCCGGGGGGGAGACGCCCTCGTAGGGCCCAGTCGTATCCAATGTTCCACAGGAGTGGTCCTAGGACAGACACCTGCGGAACACCGCACGACATGGCCCTGCGTCTCAAGACGCCATCTCGGTCCTCGTACATGACGGTTCGCTCCTCAAGATAGTCTGCCACCAGCCGCCTCAGGTACTCCGGCACTCCGTGGTAGCGGAGCGCTTCCCTGATGCAGCTGAATGGCAGACTATTGACGGCGTTGGCGATGTCCAAGGACACCGCCAACACCACTCCGCCGCAGCTCACGGCCTCCTCGGTCACGGCCCTAAGGCGCATCACGGCATCGATCGTCGAACGCCCCTCTCGGAAACCGAATTGGGCGTCCGACAGATCGGGGCCAACCTCGCAGAGGTGCCGGACGATGCGGGCAGAGAGCACCCTCTCGAAAAGTTTACCCGCCTCGTCCAGCAACACGATAGGCCTATAGGCCGCGACCGAATTGGTAGGCCGTCCCGGCTTCCTCAGCAGGACCAGCTTCCCGCACTTCCAGCGCTCAGGGAAGCGTCCGGACGCCAGGCTAGCGTCCAACACTTCCCTGAGGTGGTCCGACATGTAGTCGAGGGCTCGGGCCATCACTCGGGCTGGAACCCCGTCCGGCCCGGGGGCAGTGTTCTTGGATCTAATCCGTAGAACAGCCGCCCCCAACTCCGATTCCCTGACGGGCGGAACATCAGCCTCGCTGCCCCCGTCGTCTCCGGCTGATGCAGCCATCGACGGGGGTGTGTGCTCCACCCGCTGCGGGAATAGGCCCTCGACCACTTCCTGCAGGAAGCTGGGCTGGAGAGTCTCCGTAAAGGGGGGGCCCGACGTGCGGAGCTTTTGACGCAGTTGTCTAGTAACCATAGTACAAGGTCTGCTTAGTTTGGGATTAGATGGCGCAGTGTCAATCATCATTATCAGAGCGTAGTGTTGTATACAAAAATATGTATGATATATAATGATATATGAATACGTCATTGGACAAGGTGAGGACTGCTGAAATTCAGGACTCTTAATATTTTTTTCTCACAGTCCACTATGTATAGTTTTATTTTTCCCCGTTTTCCACATAACAAAATACTAACAGTTTCAATAAGTAACAAAAATTTAACGAATTTAAACCAACTTCACAACATACGAATGAAAGCTAAGAGAAAAAAAATCAAACACGTTCTAGCGGTAGCAACCTTGCGGACGGTACCAAGACGATCGCGCATTCCACGCGTTGGTCTAAAACGATTGGTCGAGTAATACCATGTTACATTACTGTACCATGACAACCATTGTTTCTATGCAGTCTTATTGCATGAGATTCTAAAGGAAATGCGTAATAAAACGATTTGGTCGACCAGGACTTCGCGTTCAGATGTCCACGCGGGGCAGCCTTCCATCGTGTGCTGGGTAGAGTCCCAGTCGTCTGCGCAGTGCTGGCATTGTGCCGTCTTTTTGTGTCCAATCCGATGCAGGTAATCACCGAAGCAGCCATGCCCAGTGAGTACCTGCGTCAGTTGGTAGGTGACGCGGCCTCCCTCCCTACCTACCCAAGCTTCGAAGCTCTGTCAAGTGACAGCGCGTTATCGCCACTGTACCAGTACTTGTCGGTGAGCGTTCCGCCGCATTTTAAGCTCATCCTGGTCTTCCCCGCACCCTGGTCTTCCCCGTTCACCCCGGCGCATCGTGCCTAAGTTCCTCCCACTCTAATAAGCGGGTAGGAACTGCACCTCTGCGTTTCCTGTGGACCCACAAGGCTTCCGTCTTATGAGGTTCAATCGTTTGACCCAGACAGCTGATCTTTCGGACGACACAAGCCTATCCTAGCTCAGTGAGCTCCAAGACCTCCTGGAAGCCATAGCCCCATATGGAACGCAGCAGACGACACTCAGTCCTGGGGGAAGGCTGGTCCTCAGTACCGCATCATACGCGAGGTTGCGCAGAAGGGGTTCTAAGACCCCTGGAAAGGGCTATGCTTGGCGTTTCTCTAAGGGATCTTATTAGAAATGAGGTGATCCTGCAGAGAACCAAGGTGACCGACATAGCCTACCGAATTAGCAACATTTCATTAACACGAATATCTTAGTAGATGTCAGATATTTAAAATGCGGGGACAAAGCGGCCGTCACCGCGTCGGGCCGGGTGGCAGCGGCCGACAGGAGCGAATCGGGCCTATACCTAAATAATGCATATAAAGGTGTCCTGTAGTATAGTGTTATCATAATAATAGTGTAATTAATTACTCAACTCTGAAACCACATTAGTAGTATCTAAACTATAAAGCGTAGACGTAGGAAAAAGTAATAATTTTATCAGTAGATGACCTTTAAATTAAAATTTTCAAAAAGTCATTTTGCCCCGCCATAACAAAAATATCTTAAGGGGAGCCAAGTTCAATAATATGATAGTTATTTTCACATACTATTCAGCTAATATTTAGTTATTCAACTTATCATCTTTATGTTACATGCAAGTCATTGATTGCAAGATATTGTAAGGTTCTATTCTTTTAATTGTGTTTTAAATATACATAAAAGTGGTGTACGTAAATAAATTTATTCATTATTATTATTAAATAAATAAATTTCAGAATCGTGCACAGACCCTGGCCCTCGTTTAGATCTCAAATCTTTTGTCGGTGAAGTGGAAAACCACACCATAATTACCATTTTATTGAACTTAGCTCCTATTTTCACATACTTTTATATTTTTGATGGAATATCAAACTCACTCTCTTTATTTCATTTTTTTGTTTATTGTTTGAAATCGTCTTTTATGTAGACTCTAAAGTTATAGATCAACACACACAAAAGTAACAATCTCTGTTTTGTCACATAGTACCTAAGCAAATAAATTTAACAAAAATCAAACCCATACAAAATGTATGATATGCCTGTGCCGATCTACAACCGCCCGTTTCCAAGGGGTCGAGCCTTATGAGAAAGGGCAAACAAACTCATGGCTCATGGCATATCTGTTTACTCCTCTTCCCCTATGCCAGCTCCAACAAACCATGAATCTCTAGAGAATCTAGTAAAGTCCCATCAAGTAAAAATTATTAGTGTAAAGAGTTTACCTTTGGTGACCCTATATTTTCACGTCATCATTCATCATTCTTTTCGTTTATTGTGAACGATTTTGGTAAATTATATTATGTAAAATGTGAGCTAAATAAAAAGATAGTCACATAAAAGGTTCTTAATAAAGAAAGTTCCCTATATAAAATCTATTTTCGTATTGACGTCATGGGAAATCAATTTATAGGTTCCATTTATTGGTTCAATGACATTGATCAGATAATAATTTTACGCGCAGAGACAAATTTTCTTGTGCAGCTGTGTCCTGCGATAATACACGCGACAATGGGACGCTCAAGTGTTCTTGATCCTTGTGGATTGGGTAGGTACGTTCTTAGATGGTTTAAACCTGATTGTTTAGTGAAAACGCTTTATCGTATTAACGCAACTAAGACAAACCATTCTTCGAAAACTACATGACAAAATAAAAATCTGGAATCATTATTATCTTAATTAATTAACTAGTGTTATGATAGTTCACACATCTTGTAATAAAGGCTTATTTTACTTTTATACCTAAAATCTGTTGAAACTATGTAGAATTAGTTGCGCATAAAAATGGAAGCCTTAATTTTCAGTGACGAAGAGGGCATAATGTATCTATCTAATGTCCCTAAATATTTATCTCATAATTACTTGTAATTTGAATTAGTATTAAAGAAGAAAATATATTACGTCAATATATTTGCGGATATTGGAAGTTAAAGAATCATTTTGACGACTATGGTGATGATTTTTCTTTTAACGTCCTTGTAAAAAGAAATTAGATCCATTATGTTCTTATTTTATTTAGATTTCATAACTTATTGACGCGACATCACTGCGTTGCAACCTACGATTTTGAATTGTGAAATCCATTTAAAGAACTTAAAACTTACGAGGATGTAGATTAGTCAATCCTTACAGAAGTTGTATCGTGTGTGGGAAGCTGAAAATTGAATGCACTGTAGCGATTAACTAGTATGGAATTGAAACAACCCTCAGATCTGTATAAAAGCCAACACAAGTGCTACAACATTCAGTTTGGAAGCGACCACCATCGGGACACTTCCAGCACATTCATCGCGAAAGGAAGAAAACCTTTAAAAACATCACACAGTTACTATGAATAACTGGCGTTTACTATTACTTGCGTTAGTCGCGGTTTTTCAACCAATTACCTCTTTTACCGAACGCAGCCTTGTTGATGGAAGGCAACAGTGTTGCGACCGTCAAACGGATACTTTGCTCCGAGACTTAAGACCTAACCTTTATGTAAATAACCGGCTTGCAAAACCCTTTTGGACCTTACATCGCCTAAACTTTAGAGATGAGACACGTGAAGATCGGCAATTGAGGCAACGGGTTACCTTATTTCCTCGTCGCTCTACGGAGAGATCGTTGGAGAATATTCGAGAGAGAAATTTAAAACAAAGCCCGTTAATCACTTCACGGTTTACTCGAGTAGATTACCGTACAGTCGTAAGTGATGTTGTTGGCAGAACTAATGAGGCACTTTCGCGTTACTCTCAATCAAGAGATGATAGCCGAATCAATCGTCTAAGCAATGAGCGGCAAGACAGAGAGATGCAGCTCAATGGCAGGACTAATAAATTACTTTCGCGTTACTCTCAATCTAGAGATAAGAGCCGAATCAATCGTCTAATCAATGAGCGTCAGGACAGAGTAATGCAGCGCGATGTCAGGACTAATGAATTCCTTTCGCGTTACTCTCAAGCAGGAGATGAAAGCCGAATCAATCGTCTAAGCAATGAGCGTCAGGACAGAGAGATGCAGCGCAATGGCAGGGCTAATGAGTTCACTTCGCGTTATTCTCAATATAGAGATGAGAGCCGAATCAATCGTCTAAGCAATGAGCGTCAAGACAGAGAGATGCAGAGTAATGCCAGAACCAATGAGTTACTTTCGCGTTACTCTCAATCAAGAGATGAGAGCCGAATCAATCGTCTAAGCAATGAACGTCAGGACAGAGAGATTTCAAAGACAGACCGAATGGAATTTAGGTCTGAAACCGTTCATCGGATGACATCAACGAGAGCTTCTCGAGACAGTCTTTGGATGCAAAGAGTAGCCGAAGACCGTACTCGCGTTTATCATGAAAGTCGTCTACTTCTTGAAAGGGAACGAGTAAATAAACCCACTCATGAACGTCGTGAGCAAGAGCGTCATGCTGAACAACGACGATCACTCTCTGAAAATTCCAATGTAATAAACCGAGTACGGGATATGGGAGTAAATTTTAGGGACCAGAAACGAGAAAATCGGGCAAGATCGGCAGTGAGCCTTCAACATAGCAATGCCCATAGACAATCTAGGGCAACTGTAAAAGAAAATACTGATCTTAGCGTTTCAGATGAGAGGATGCTTTTGGATCGTAGGGAAATCGAGTCTAGATTAATAAACGGTAGAAATGTTCGAGATCGAGTTGTCGAAAACCGACGGGACACGAGGCTAACGGAGAGGTTATCTAAGGAAACTCATGACGTTCAATTCGTTCAGGAAAGTCGGGTCGAATCGAGGGCTTCAAGGCGGACGGCCGAACGAGATAGCCGGGTAACAGACCAAAGGGCACGTTCCAGGAATATTCAAAACTTCCGCGATGCTAGATCAGATTCAAAATTGAGCCTATATGATAATACACTTCGTGGATCTGATGCTTCCCGCAGCCAGACTGCATATCGTGGCACAATGGCTAACCGGGACAGGAATATAGTTGACAATAGATTCCGAAATGTCGAGTCTGCCAGGGCTCGTGACAACAGTATTATTATTCAAAAACTTGACACTGAGAACGAGCTCATCAGTAATTGGCAATACATTTTCTACTCGATTCAAGCCGCCTACATATGTGGATTTGTCATACAGACGCTGACACCAAATCGTTATGAAAAATCCAAAATGGGGTCAGTAATTTAGTGTTATTTTGTTTTATTTGATTTTTTTTTATATATCCGAATTCCAAATATAAAGATATTTAGTTTAACTCTCACTTATCTAATATTAAAATGTATAATTCTCATTTGTTCTCCAAGCAGAGTTTTTGGCTGTAATATCTTAAGAAGTTCCTATAATAGTTACTTAATATATTTTTTAAATTATCAACTCATGCTAAAATAATGTTTCCTTCCAAATTACAGAAATCTACGTTGGTGGCCGCTTGCTTCTCAGGGACTTATCAAGGTGGATTAAAGGAAAACTATTTACAAAATACAAGTATTAATGTTGTAGGAAACTTAGATTCAATGTTATATTACATGTATCTCCCATTATATTCTTAGAAAATAAATATCGTATGTTATAAAAAGCGTTGTGTTATTTTCAAGTATCTAACGCTGCCGGCCGACATAACATCATAACTATCTTCTATAATTGACATTTCATAGTAGGCGTAGGTACAGGCAGACGAATCGAACACTGACCGCTAAAATTCTAGCCAGTATCATTGCGAGTGGCTTTTTTTTACAAAATAAAGACAAAATGAAACAAGAATAAGACATGTTTTACTCTGCAACTTTTAAGTATCTCATTAGAGATATGTATGACACGAATAGTGATTTGGCCGAATAGCGAATATTCGGCAACACTTACTTTTGGCGGGTTTAAACCTGAATCACTAAAATGGTCAGAAAACTCAAAACAATATCCTAACCTAACAGAATTGATTAAGATTAATGTATCATCTCTCGGAAGCAGTATATACAGAAAAAGCGCTATCGTTTCCTATCAACAAATGCTGAAAAAAATGGTGTGCGTTACCCCAGCAAAATAATGTCGAAAATGGTCATTTAAACTTTATAGATAATTAGTTGCTCCCCTTCTGTAATTGTTAAGCACATTTTTAAATTTGTTTCACTTAAACTTTTTTAGTTATTTCAAAAAAACATTTCCTGCTGGAGTAACGTTTGAAACGTTACCGCAGCCAGACATTTTCTTTTTTAATTGTAATATTCAAATAAATTTTAGCTAAATAATTAGTTATCTGGACTAGGTAAATGTTACAACTTATTTGGTATTTGTATTTTCTTCGGTTGCGAAGTTATTCGAAATCCTGCTGGAGTAACGTTTGTGGGTTTGCTGGATCTCTGAAACGGGTAAGCGGATTGTAACCATCTTTTGTACATAACTTCTTAAGGATTAGTTTTAATTTGTTCGACAATAAAATAACAAAAATAATGGACCGTTTAAAAATTATTTAGGTAAGTATGAAAACACTTAAATACGTCCTAACACTTTAAATAAGACCTCTTAAGACTTACTTGAAACGTTATTCTATTGCTTGTAACTACTTTCAAATGTATACGAATTTTCGTAAGAATACTGTAAGTGACTAAAAAGTTATGATGAAATGTAGCTCTCCAAGTTCACGATCACAATGTGTGCGGCCTTTTTTGGCCACCGATAAACCTGTGTGTGGATATATAAACTGAATGTTATGCCAATAATTAGTTGTTTAGTTCAGTTGTCTACCTGTAAAATTTCAGCGTAGTACATATAATAATTTACGAGATAATTAAATAAAAGTCATTAAAAGGTGCAAGACCGTGGTAACCCGACCATGTTTAGGTGGTTACAAAAAAGCGATCACCCAGTACATTGTGCTGGCTTTTAAAATATGTAGGATATTATTTGCAAGTTTACTACGGATATGTACATAAGTGTTACAAAAAACTATATGTTTTTTAAATATTTTTTATTTAGGATTGTTTATTGCATAATTAGTAATCAGCCGGGAGATTAGGTATTGTTTTGAATGCTTTTGTTTTGCTCGTAATGTTTAGGTGAAATGTTTATAGTTGTTCATAGAATTGGTACCTGCGTAGTATTTGTTAATTGAAGTTTAATTTTAGGGTAGGTATAGGTAATTTAAGAAATATGAAATGAAATGAAATGAAATGATAAGTTTTGAAGAGTGTAACGTATGCGTTGTAAATAGGTATTTTGTGAATAGATGGGGATTTTTTTAAGTGATGAATCGACTTAGGCTAGCATATCGCGAACAAACTCTGTATTGCATTATTTCTGTAATAATGTTGGAGAAAATAAAATATTTGATCACAAAATCGCGGTGAGTTAAATTATAATAAAATAAATTATTTATGTAAAATTAGTAATAAGTGATATACCTACCTAAAAGTTATGATCGTTTTTAATTTGTTCACCCTGAACGAAATTTCAATATTAGCATTAGTAATTAATATCCTAAGACAAGAATTGACAATTACTTAAATTGAATCGAATTAGCATTAATGCCTATTATTAGTAATTAGGTACACACATATTGAAGAACTCTCAAGAATACGATAAATATTTGCAAAAATAGAAAGCGGAAGCGCACACGTACTTTACAACACGTATATTATCTGCCTAAGGGTCAAGTTTAGTGCACTAGATGCAAATTGCAAACAATGAAGTATCCCTTCGCCCCTCCCCTCCCGCGTTCTAGCGAAGGATGTATTATCAGCGATTCTTGATTGACAAATATTATCTGACCAATAATTTTATCTATAAAAATGTTTCACTTTCACTCGATAAATTAAATTACCGTTATTATATCAAAATATCATTCAACAACTGTTCGTTTTTAACAGAAATCAACAGTAACGGGCTCAATGCTTAACGGTAGGTACATAGGTATAGATAATTCTCGGTTCTAGGTATAGACCACAGAACAATATTACCTACTCTTACGAGGTATACGTCTGTTGGGCGATGCAATGTTGATGCATTCTAATTTACAACTGTATTCTTCTACTATTCGGTCTATTTTAACTTATTGTAGATAACTTGTTGCTTTAAATATTTTGATGCATTCAAGTCTAAGCTCTATACACCCCAAAATAAAATACAATTACTTTAGTGTTATTTCTTTACAAAAAAAATATCAAAGAAATGAAACGATTTCTTATTGGTTTAAATTTTCGTTTTATTGCAGTCAGGTGAATCGTTCATACATGTATCTACATATTTATAATTTTAGCGGACCAGTGAAGATTTTCTGTTGATTGTAGCTCCGGTAGTAAAAAAGACTAAATAAATTTTAAGTAAAGAAACTAGTGCTTAAGATCAATTAGGGAAAAAAACAAAATAAATAATAGGTAATAATAATGAATAAATATTGAATGTATTTAACACTGTACGTAACTGTACCGAAATCGTAAGGTGTATTACACTAAACATTTTAAAAGACAGCGCAATGTACTGGGTGATCGCTTTTTTGTAACCACCTAAACATGGTCGGATTACCACGGACTTGCACCTTCTAATGACTTTTATTTAATTATCTCGTAAATTATTATATGTACGACGCTGAAATTCTACAGGTAGACAACTGAACTAAACAACTAATTATTGGCATAACATTCAGTTTATATATCCACACACAGGTTTATCGGTGGCCAAAAAAGGCCGCACACATTTTGATCGTGAACGTGGAGAGCTACATTTCATCATAACTTTTTAGTCACTTACAGTATTCCTACGAAAATTCGTATACATTTGAAGGTAGTTACAAGCAATAGAATAACGTTTCAAGTAAGTCTTTAAAGGTCTTATTTAAAGTGTTAGGACGTATTGAAGTGTTTTCATACTTACCTAAATAATTTTTAAACGGTCCATTATTTTTGTTATTTTATTGTCGAACAAATTAAAACTAATCCTTAATAAGTTATGCACAAAAGATGGTAACAATCCGCTTACCCGTTTCAGAGATCCAGCAAACCCACAAACGTTACTCCAGCAGGATTTCGAATAACTTCGCAGCCGAAGTAAATACAAATACCAAATAAGTTGTAACATTTACCTAGTCCAGATAACTAATTATTTAACTAAAATTTATTTCAATATTACAATTAAAAAAGAAAATGTCTGGCTGCGGTAACGTTTCAAACGTTACCCCAGCAGGAAATGTTTTTTTGAAATAACTAAAAAAGTTTAAGTGAAACAAATTTAAAAATGTGCTTAACAATTACAGAAGGGGAGCAACTAATTATCTATAACGTTTAAATGACCATTTTCGACATTATTTTGCTGGGGTAACGCACACAAAAAAATGTTTCAAACATTAATTATGATAAGGTTATTGGTAAAAATAAAAATCTTTGTGAGTAATATTATGCATTCTTTTTTCGTGATTTACTTCTCGGTTCGGCCGAATGCCGAATAGTGGAAAAAAATTGCCAAATAGCTTACCGAATAGTTGCCTAATATTCGTGGCATCTCTAATCTGTATGCAGTTGAAAAGCTGTTCATTTAAGAGCAATTTGGTAAAACTTATTCGCTTATACTTATTCGCGGATTTCTTTCATGCAATTTTATTTACCTATCATCAATCAAGTTAAAAGATAAGATTTTAGTGTGCTAGTCTTTTTTAGTGTTTTATGCTGTACACGCCTACTACTATCACTAAACGAACGGGTCCTGTACCCTCGACTTTGCCGATATTTAGGCAGATTTACAAAGATAAATCCATGAATGAATTCATATAAATTACAATGTGTAACATATACATTACTCGCTAGTAAAGGCAGGTTTCCACCGGCCAGGCGAGAAGTGAATGGGCCGGGCGAGAATTGAAATTTGAATAGCAAAATTGTTATCCACGCCCTGCCCATCTTTGGTATAAAATTGAAATATGTGTTAGCACAATATTGAACTTTATTGCACTTAGAATAGAGTATTTATTTACTTTGTAAAAAGGATATTAATTACTATATTCTGTACAATTTGCCTTGAATAAATAAATAATAATAATAAATGATATGCAAATCTCGAACCGGCCATTGAGGACACGCATGGTCTCTCTCCGTTAAGCGCTGGCTCGCGCTGGCTCGCACTGGCACGCACCGGCTCGCTCTGTCCATCGCGAGATATTGCTGTATACTATACTCCAGCTGTATATTATTATTATATAGTTGTTCACTTAATATATCACTGGCTTGCAAAACTGTGATCGTCGAAATCACTGCTTGAGACTAGTTTCAGTTTGTCTCACGTCAACAAAGACACATTTGTCATAATCTATACTGAAGTGAAGATTTCGACTTAAGCATCATTCTAAAATAAGCTATCATTTACGCGAGTGTGGATCGGTGAATTTTGTTTTAAGCGACGTTCAATTATAAAATCTCTACTGAAAATGAGTTTTAAGATTAAATTTACGGCTGGGACACCTTTAAAACTCGAAGAAGAAGAAAGAAAAGACTTGGGGATTAAAACTCGAGTGTACAAAAACTGATTTATTATGCTTACTGTAACACATCATTTATCTTCTTATTCTATAAGATTTTAGAGGTCTAAAGTATCCGTTTTCTTTTTATTTTGTCCTTCGTACCAAGCCTTGGAAATCATTCTTTTCATTTCATCATCTCCAGTTTCATACCTGAAAGAGATACATTTATGAAACATCATATTGTCCTTCACATAATTCCAGTATGGTCCATTCTTCCTTCCCTGTTCAACTCCTGTAACTCTTTGGAATACACTCCCACTAGAAATCAGGATGTCTACTAACCAATACACTTGTTGACGGAGTCATCAGAATAACACCTTAAGAGTATATTTATTATCTTCGTATTTTATATATTTTGTCATTTACTATGATATTTATATGTATAAACTATATGTATGTATATCTAGTACTTATATATCTGTAGGGTTTTTTCTTTTCTGCCATTGTGACATGGCTTAATTCAATCTCATTTTTACCTGTCCCAAATATACACCTGCCACACACAGCTTTGCAACACCCAAAGGTTTGACTGGCAGAAAATGCCTGGCATTAAGTCCGCCCTTATGCAATATGTTTGCAGGACGACTCAATAAATAAATACAGTAAAAAAGAAAACATGGTTCAATATCAAAATCGTAAATTTATGTAAAATAAAATGTTACCAAACGTATGACAACTTAACCGTAGGTAAAACAAAACGTTCAATGGCGAGAATTCTATATAATCTGCAGTAGGGATAGACATAAATATTGCAAAAATAATTGATATCAAATATTTTTTCTCAAAAACTAAGCGTTTCCGCATTTTGAAACTTTGCGGGTGTGCTTATAGTAATGTAAGCTTTCTGTAAAAAAAATACCAACCCCCAACTCGATGGACGTCAATAGAAAGTTGTACCGAGAGTTTTATTATACACTCTTTGGCTTATATTATACTATTAGTAGAGATAAAAGTACTAATTTAAATAAATATATAGCATAGATCAATTGCACCCAGAAACAAATGATCAATATGATACAGTAATAAAACTATTACAAGTAATCTTATGTTGCACCAAACACATGTAACTGATGAACATGACACTCCTGAACGGGCGCCACTGTCATACCACTGACACGCTTTTGAGATGCCATCGAGTGGCCATTGGCATCGGTATAAATATTGAGGAAATGATTTATTATATATTATTATTTCTAAATAATATATAGCATAAATCAATTGCACCCAGACACAAATGATCAATATGATCATATTATGATTACTGGGTAGGAATCAAATCTAACTGGATGAAGAGTCAGACAAATAAATCAGCTGTTAAGCAAAAGGAGAGTCAAACAACAAAGAGCATTATTTGATTTGTTAGGGTATTTGCAGATTGACATCATGTGGATAATGGGTTCAAACAAACAATTTCAGAATTATGGATACTTTCATATGAATAGGGGACGGGAACTATACATGTCACTGATATATCCAATTTCAGTTTCATACTACAACTGCAAAAATCATATTTATTTTAACAACTTACATATTCTTCATGAGGCTCATGATGGATTCCTGTGGATCTTTACTTTTGTCTATATCATCTGAAGGTTTGAAGCGGTTAGAGCGCTGATCCTCAAATTTCTTCTCCACTTCAGTCATATGGGACCACTTCACATTTGGTCGAGATTTTGCAAGGAATATCACCACCATATCTATAAAATGAGAAAATTTAAAGTTAAATAAAAATGCAATAAGATAATATACCTTTTTAAAATGTCTGTCTGAAATCCAATAAAATATCTTTGAAAATACCTATTATAAACAAAACATTAAATTTATCTTGTAACACAACAGCAACTTAGACCTCAAGATGAACTCAAGTCATTTTTTAAGCAAAATATTTTTATTTATAGCTAGCGAACTTACCTGTCTTTATCTTCCAGTGACTCTCACCAACATTGATTGGTTCTAAGAGTTTATTAATAAGAAGTACATAATCTTTATTATCCAGATTTTCTACATGTAACTGCATAGATTTTTCGGTTAATGTGCAGTACACCTGTTCTTTTGGTAGAGACTGAACATTTTTTAGTGTTACAAACACTTTAATGTATTTGTCAGATTGGTCCCAGCCTGAAACAAATTGATTTTGATTAGAAAATGATTAGAAATTGATTAGAAAGTGACTAAATCTATTTACTAATAAGAACAATTTTTTTTTAGAAATCAACATCTGTAGCGTCAGTAAATGATAGAAACGAAATTAAGCGATTAGAAATAGTCATTAAAATAAATTTACACTTGTGTTTAGGTTATAATATTGTTAAGGTGTAAAGGGCATACATATGAGTTAAGAAATTAATAAAAAATACACCCACCATAACCATTTAATTTAATCTGGTATCTTTTAGGAGCTGCAGTAGATGCAGCCGGCAATGCTTCAACATCCGTTGATTTGGCACTATTAGCTTCCTTCAAGTTTATCCACTCAGTTTCCAATTTTCTGGCTTCCAATGACAGCACATCTTGTACCTTTTTCCTTTTAGCTAGCTTCAATAATTCATTTAACTCATCAATGTCACTGCGTAGCTGTTAAAAATAAAAATGTTTAAGAATAATGTGGTACCAAGAAACGTTCTAGAAATAGTGCTATGCTGAGTAAAAAACTAACTTCTTTCATCTTAGCTTCTGCCATGGTGTTTAATATCAAAATCAGAGATAATATAGTAAATCTTTTCTTTCCTGAGAAACAGATGGTTTGAATGCAAGTTAATCACTATATACTGCTTTACACTTTTACACAATTTTTGTTTCAAATTATGTTGATTGATTGAACTACATTGACCGAACTGAAACGAATGAAGTAATTAATGATGGAAGATGGCAGGCAGTTTGGAACTTCGAAGTTCGGACCATAGAGAAAAAATTTTAGAGAGAACATGGGGTACAGCTGCCTGTAAGTGGAAGCGATACAAGCAAAGAAATCGTAATAATAAGTCCCTAGAAGTCGTATAGACGCTTGACCTCGACGTCGCCACAATGATATGTACCTATACGAACACCACTTACAGAAATTCGCACCATTCGTGATTTGGTTGCGCGGAGCGTCGTATGAAAATTTATATTGTTAAAATGATGAACTGCAGCATAATCGGTACTGAAAACGCAGGGAAGTGTAATTCAACTAACAAAAGGCATAATATTTCGTAGGTCAGTTTATTTTATTCTAATAAATCATTGTTTTTACAAATTTACATCTCTATGAATGTTTTAATAAGATATCTCCCTTTGTAAAAAATATTTTCCGTTTTTTACAATTACCATTGCTGCTTTTGTTCTTATTTGCATTTGCACACGATGTTACAAACTCGACAAGTAATCTGTAATATTAGATGTCGTTGTGCATTGCGTATGTTTATAATACGGCTGCCGTCATCGGTCGCCAGTTTGTGATTAACCGTACCATTAATTTGAACAAAAGTACAGTTCATATCGATGTTGGTATAAAATAAAGGGATATTTCGCAGATTTTCGAAAGTAAAAAAACTAAACGCAATATATGGAAGTAAAATTTTAATATTCTTAATTTTATTATACAATAATTTATTTAGGTATTTAATTATTTGTTCAAGTTTGCGTATTAAAGCCTAAAAATGTTTTACATGCTGATTAATGTAAATAAAATGTTATCTCTCTAGGAAGCATAAATATTTATATCATTTATTATCAAATAATTATAATTAATTTCTAGATTCCCGAAAGATCCTGATGTTGAAGGAAAAGTTTATTCATTTTACTGATTAATAAACTCATTTCGTAGACTTGCTGAAATTGTAAACTGCAAATTACTACTATAAATATTTGTATTAATTGATAGCTTCGAAAAATTGTTGTTTGCAAATTGCATTGTTTATAAATTCTCACACATCCAAAGAGACAATCTCTTTGGTGCCACATAATACATTGAAGTAAAATGCAATGGAATTCCTGTGAATTAAGGTTAAAATAGTTTGTGCCCTATTCATTTCACCGTTGTTTTGCAAGTGTGTGCAAGTCTTATATATATTTGTTTGTATTTTGTGTATGTGTGGCGATATCGGTTTTAGAAGTAATTAATTTCTAGTGTCTTATTATTACGATTTCTGTGAATACAGGCAACAAGAGAGATTTAACTCCGATAGCTCGAGCTGTCTCTGTTTAGCAAAGCTGCTATTGTGTTTTAATTGTAGAACAGATCGGAGATGATATTTCCCCAGCCAACCACAGAGCTCGACTAAAAAAAGATAGAGGGAACTATCTATCATCCATATCTGTCGATGCCAGTCGATGCCTATTTTGCAAAATTGGGGCTCTTGTTCACTCTATGCTTATATCTCTATGAATGGAACATTGACTAAACCTCATTACTAAATATTCTAGTTCAGAAAGGAATGAAAGAAAATGTTCTAGAACGCTGTGGGGTTGTCAGACATAAAAATGTATTTTTCATGGTAGTAAATTCTTTCATGGCTTTGAAAAAATCAAATGAAAAGTTTATGTGTAAAACATCTTTCTTCTCGCTTTCTCGCATTCCGTGGGAGTTATACCCATTGAGTTAAAACAACACTAGAGAAGCAAACCTCATTATCACACGTCGAAAAAAGTGTAACCACTTTTGAAATTTGACGACGTAGCTTTGATACCACTAAACATTTGAAAGTAAACATATTTATGTCTCATTTACACGCGAGACAAGGACAATACCATCGCTCAGATTAGAAAAAGACAAAGACATAACTTTACGATGGTGGGCCAGTGTTGACTACCGTATGAAATTTTACCCATAACAACCAAGAAACAATTTTTTTTTAAAACAATTTTGTAATAAAATAAATTAATTTAAAGATTTTAAATAATATATTTCGAATTGAATGGAATATGTATAAATAATAAAATAACTAGAAATATTTGGTTAAAAGGGTTTATATTCAGTGTAAAATCAAACTCCGCTATCAGTTTTGTATACAATTGTCTTTTAGACTCTTTTTTATAAGTTTGTGTGAATATTTTACTTTCATGATACAATCTTATTTTTACCTATGTATAAATAATGGCATTTAATAGTAAAAGTGAATGATCAACTTGTACTGATAATAAATAATCCCCAGCTTGTATTGCAAATTCTTTTAATATTTTAAAATACAAATAAAAAAAAATATATAAAATATATATATATATATATATATATATTTTGTTTTTTAAATTTTTTTATTTATATTTATTTACTTTTTTTATTTTATATATAAATATATTTTTTGTACAATTGTTATTTATATTTGATAATTAATTAAGAAAAATGAATGAATGAATGAATTAATTCTTTTATACAAAAGTCTCCAGCTCTGCGAGCTTGGCAGAAGGTGAACATTCATCGGGTCCCTAAAAAAAGTGATCGATTCAGCCCTAACAACTACAGTTCTTCCTATATTTTATTGTTATTGACAAAATGTTTAAAAACAGTATAAAGCATATTATTTCATAAATTATAAATTCTCCCACTATTGTGGGAAAACAAAAATGATTTTTTAATGGTAACACTGATTCTAAATTACAATTATCAATGTTTTATTTCAATTATAGCCTTATTTACGATATTATCAATACAAAAACCATAAACTTACACGTGATAAGTAATTCCGAATGATTTATTATGGTTTTGTGACCTTGAATCGCATTCTTTCACTACGCATTTACCCATTTTGGCGATTGTTACTGTCATGTGTCGCTATGTTCAACTCGGTTGACGCCACATTGAACACTGAATTGACGTTTGCTACGCATATGCCTGTGGACAGATGTGCAGTAGCAACGATTTTAGGCGGTAATTACTCATCTATGTAAGTATTATATCAATGGTTATACCCATTTTTTAGAAAGTTGATAGTAATGGTGAGCGGTCTCCAGGCTCTGTGGTAGAAGTGTGATGGTGTGTGTGCTTGCAATCTTGCATAAACTTGTTTGATTCTTCACCAATATAAATACGAATGCCAAGGATAAACGTTACTCATTTATGTACGGAATTTCGAAAAAACGCGAAGTAAAGTGAATCGATGTTAGTGTTTGCCAGTTTCGGAAAAAAAAATATTTTACTGCCTATTTGTTATACATACTTTTATTTTATGTTGTAATAAGTATAGTATAGTTTGCGTGTAGGTTTGGTAGGTACGTATTAAAAATTAAATACTGAATAGTCATTATTAGATACTTCCATGAACGAACAGAAACCCGAGAAAGGTTGAACTTGTTGTCCCTACTTTATTAGTAAATTTTTTTTACCCGACTGTGTGGTGGTTCACTAAAGGAGAGATGTATTTTGATTGACCTGCATGATTGTAAATATTTCAGGTTCCTAATGCTAAATGACTTAATTAAATATATTGTCATAATCATCTTTACGTAGCCGTGCATCAAAGTAAGAAATTGAGTAGAGTTTTGATATCAAAATATATTTATGAAAAAATGTTTCACATTACAATAAAATCGTTTCGCCGGTTTTCGTAAACTTTATTATATTATATATTGAGATGCATAATAGAGTAGAGTAGTAGTATAATAGAGCTTTTAATAATTATAATCAGTTTGCCGTCGGTACTTTGTTTATTTCATTGCAATAATTAATTTTGTAATCCTATTCTGTTAAATTAGCCATATCTTGTTGAGTAAGCCTTATAATTAAAAACACTTATAATTAAAAACTAAAACAAAGTTTTTTTCTTTACAGGTAGGTAACTGATATTCTTAACTTCAACAATGAAGTTACTCTCAATGAGCAACCAGAGCTTCAAGAATATAAATAGCAATCAAATACGCCCCCCCCTCGATCTCCCAATACCCTCCGTATCATAATACATACTATACACCTTTTTTTTCTGTGCGGATATCCCCTCGGATACCATCCACCGGTGGTTATATCGGACTCGAACCAACCAAAAACCGCACGCCGTCTCGGGTACCAGTTGCCGGGGAACCAGGTGTACCCTAGGAAGGAAATCCCTGATACCATGACGTACCTCGGGCCATCTAAGCGCAGGCCTCACCTACCACCCAGGCCTGCGCTTATGGAGGACGGAGGTCATTCTGCGACCTCCGGCGCCTGAGTCGGCTGCGGTACCTGGCCCGTTGCCGGGCCTGGCGCTCCGGGAGAGTTCTAAACCTCTCCCGGTCCCGCTCCGCCATCTCTTTTGCAAACATAACTTGCTCGTTCTGCGACGGCGGAGTTCCACACATACTATACACCTAGTGTTAAGTCCATAGTTTGTGAGGGCCATTTACACGCCGTAGATGGGCTGAGGTACGTCGGGGTATCAGGGCTTTCCTTCCTAGGGTACACCTGGTTCCCCGGCAACTGGTACCCGAGATGGTTCGAGTCCGACATAATCATCCCACCGGTGGGTGATATCCGAGGGGATTCCCGCACAGGAAAAACAAAACAAAAAAAGGGGGTCCGCCGGATCCAGCTAAATTTTGCAAGTGGTCTATGAGAATAAAATCTGAGTACCTCTGGTCTACATAAAAGACGACTTCAAACCATTTTAAAATTTGTATGACATAAAAATATTTTGAGAATGAGTTTACCGTGTAAAGGGACGGAAGTCTGTTACAAGACTCCGGGAAACGCGGCCAATTTGATTTAATATTCATAAGCCACTTTTTAGTTTTAAAATGGGTATACAAATTACCCATGACATGATAGACCTATTTCTTAGCCTTTCATGGACTCACCGTGCCGGTGCCGGGCCCATCGCGTAATAGATGGAGGCAACACATGCGGCTTCGACAGCGCCTAGGACTTGCGACCCAGGTATATGCTTAGGAAGTACTTCTTGCGACGTGTCAGCGTAGGTAGAGGGGGTAACACAGCGATTTGGATATTTGTTCAAGAAAAGAATCGCAATCCAAGGTCTTTAAGCAGGTTTTAGAGGGATTTAGCTGGTATACCCTCGCACCCACTTCCACAGCATACAACGCGATGACATAACCATTTTTAGTTATTTCGTTGGTTATGTCAAAGTACTTGTTTCTTTTTAATGCGTAGTGTTTAGGGACGTTAGTTTCAAACGGCACCGTGAGTTCTGCTAGTACTACTACACGCTTAAAAGAAATATGTCCGGTCTGGACGCCGATGCACAGATATCCTCCGGTATTCTGTAATGATTTTTATAGTGTCCACTAATAATGTCCAGTCACGTGCGGTATTTATAATTACGAACGGCCTTTGTGAAGTCATGTGTTGAGCCTTCCTTTACAAACGCGATGTTATGTTTGTTGTTATTCCTTTTTTCGCTTGATATGATTTGTCATAGCCTACCATGGCTACTACTACGTGAACTGCACATCGTACAAGCCGTTTCTGTACCTTTTCCCACCTTACTAGGTTGCTTTGATCGTTGAGAGTTAATTGAAAGGCGTTAAGGTAAAATTTTAACAGGGTATTAGGTGACCAATCGTATATGAGTGTGCGCCATTTCAAATCTGTTCAATTGTCAATCTGTTCAAATCTGTTGAATTTTTGTCTTTTGTAAGGGATCTAATGATTTTATCTTGTGATTTTGACAAAACATGCATTTTCGTAACTCTTAGGTGTTTGTAGACCTCCGAAGCTCTTTTTAATTTCATCCCAAAGTTTTTCGAGCCCCTGTACAACGTTGACGGGTCTGCAGATGTTGCTAGCTCGAGCTCCGACTTCAATGTCTTAGTGACTTTCGCTTCCAGTGTTCTTAAGTGGTTCTGGTTTATATCGTATACCAGAAACGGCCCGGTTGAGACGTGATGTTAAGTAGTTGTCGTAAATCCAAGCTTTTTTACGTTACTTATTGGATTCACCCTTTCGATGTCTTTTACGAAGTCATTGATAATTGAGTTCATAGATGAAGTACGACCTTTGTAGTCTATCTTTATTCCAAGGAATTAAAAGGCCACGGTTTCTGATATTATTGAAACACTTTCCCACCAATAGTAATCCCGGGGTCATAAGAGGTATATCTGGTACCTCGCCGGCCCAGACAAAGGCAATAGTATTTGCTAGGTTTTGTCCTCATTCCCTCCGTCCAGGTACAGCAGTCATCCACCTTACGCAGTAGTTCTTGGCACAGCTTCGGGTTACGTGGCAGGATCTCGAGGTCGTCTGCGAATGCTAGATGGATTCCGTAAGGTACTGCTGAAAAGCAGCAACCTAACAACACTACTCTGTATTAGTATTTGACTGCACGGATGGCGCAGTGGTTTAAGCGGTCGCCACACCGCTTCCTACTGCGCCGAGTGTTGTGGGTTCAAACCCCACATGGGACGACACTTTGTGTGAACCACAAATTGTTGTTCTAAGTCTGGGTGTTCTTTGTGTCCGTTTCATGTATGTTTGTAAAGTCCCCCGCGACACAGGATATATTCCTAATGCGGGAGTTCTTTAAAAAAAAAAAGAAAGAAAAGAGGGGTATTGTATGTCCCTCTTTTACTGTGATCAGGACAGTTGCGGTGAAACACGTAATCCGAATTCCTTACTGTTTTTTTTATGAAAACTGTTGTAAAATATAATCATTAAGATGTGGTTTTGATTATTTTCACTTTACTGTGATTTTCCTAGAATACGCCTTGTTATTTTGTGTCAGCAATTTTTTTAATGATAAAATGAAGCTTAATTGATGTATAAAAGGTGCATTGTAATTCGTGTACACGGTTCCAATAGGTTGTTTGTAATCGTTGATGATGAAAATAAAGATATTATATAAAAGTAGAGAAGGTCATATCATACATTAAATATATTCTGTTTTTAACTAAATTCAAAAAATCACTTAAAAAAAACCGCTAGTTTGGCAGGTACTCCCAACTTTAAATGTCTGGTATTATCTGCTAGAATCAATATAGTAAATAGTAATTTCTGAAATTTCTTAACTGAATTACACGGTTAGACTTTTGAAATTACTATTAACTGTGTTAAATGGTTCTATACATTGGCAGTTAACAGTATGACGTTCGCTAAGCTTTGTGTTATAACTTTACTAGTTAAGACTTAAGAGGAACTTAGTCGAAGTGAGTCAGGCAGTTGATCTAACAAGCTGATCTTAATATACAGATCCATAAAATAATTAACTAGATAAAAATTTAAAAGGATAGGCAATTCGTTTTTTTTAGTCAGAAAATTGAAAATGCTTGTTAGTAAAAACACATGAACTTACCGAAGTGGCAAATAAGCATGGGCAGAAACCGTTGAGCAAGAAATTTGGGAATACTATCCTTTCAACATTAAACCTTTCTTATTGACTTTAATTTGCTAGCAGAAATCACTAAACCATTTCGTAGAACCAATACATTTGCCAATATACTCAGGTAGAACAATCTAATTGGTATCATACCTTCACCATTAAAAGATAAAATAAAGGCATGAACTTTAATATATTTCAAAAAGTTTACAGGATAAAATAGCGTTATGACAATACAAGTCATAGGAATAAGTAATACATTTAGAGTTCAGTTCTTCCTGTGAGTGCGGTTACGGCGCATGTTGGACTGACATTGCGGACAGTACCACTTGCCCTTCGGCGGAGCTGTGATGCCCACGCACGGGTAATGGAACCACTCGAACGGACACTGCAAGTACACAAACATATTTAACATGTAACATACACGTGTGTTATAAAACAAGTATCTAATCGTAATTAGTGTTTTCTTTATAAGATTATAATTTAATGTATTTTGCTGTAAACAGAATATGCTGAACCTGATTATATAATATACCTGGATGTAGGGATTTTTAGTATTACATTAAGTTAGCAGCTATTTTCATAATAATCAACAAATTATAAAATTTAGGACCAAAGTAATAAATAAAGCCAAAAAGGTGACGCTTGTAAAAATATTTCTTTTTTTACTACTGGTTTAATGCTCACGGCTTCAGTGGTTAAATAATTGTTTGTGCTATGAATGGAATATAAATATATGAGTATGATTTCTCAATTTAATGAAAACCATGTATTTAGTCAATTGTTTTCATACTCAGATCGTGGCGCGCAAATGTCTTCAAAATGAATGTATACTCACGTCTTGATTGTCACAAGCAACCATGTCACCATATGACACCTGGTTACAGACGCAGTAACGAGGTTCGTTGGGATCGTAGGTCCATTCTTCCTCCATAGGTTCTTCAACTGCTACATTGTTGGTGGCAACATTGTTCATAGCCCTAAAATTTAATCATAATTAAATTTTAGTAAGGTTGTGTATGAATGTGTGTTATCTTCTCTTAAAAAGAATCGACGAGGTCCATAAGTTCAAATTTAAGACTTAAAATATAATCCATACAAATATTGTTTTTCAAAAGCCACACCAAGTCTTTACATGCTAGTTCAAATTTTGGAGGAAGTCATATTTTAGATCTAGTTAGAAAAACTTATCTAAAAGAACACTATCTCCTATTGGACTATAGCAGAACACTTTTTAAATCGGTCCTGATATATGTACCGTTTTCGGTCGCCACAATTGTTAAGGTAATACCAGTTGACCAGTTCTACCGAATTAGAAAGTAACAAATAATTTTGCATCAACAGTATTTTGTGATCAGTTCAGTAAAGTGAAGTTGATACATACACGACAGTCGGAGAAGACGAACGACTGGCGGCGGCCGAAGCAACAGCTTGTGTGTGCGACGACACAGCTGAAGAGCTGTAACTGTTGCTCTTTCTGAAATGAGGAAATTAATTTATAGGCTAATATATTGTATTGTAACGTTTTAATAAGTTTGATTAAAAGCCTTTAGTCATAAATTTTATTGTTTTAGAGTTTAAAGACTAATCAGAAGTACTTAAATATATACTTATATAATCGTCAAAATAGTTTTAGTTATACTCACTTTTGTTTTGTCCTTTTGTTAGATGAAGAAGAAGAACTGTTATGGCTGTGCGAAGTTGTATGATGGCCGTGTACATTATTAGTCTGACTGTGGCCAGCTGCCATACCGTGTCCTGTTAAAGTATCACAAGTCATGTTATTTTTATTTCCTCTGAGCCTTTTTTCCTAAGCTAAGTTGGGGTCGGCTTTAAGTCTATTGCGATAAGGCTGAACTTCGGTTTTTTTTACGAGGAGCGACTGCCATCAGACCTCAACGGTTCAAGTACTAGGCGATATTAAAGTTCTGTAGAAAGACTTGTCGAATTGTTTTGAAATTGTTTTTTAGGGCTACAACTACCCATAAGGAATGCCACAGATGTTTGTATGACAACCAGGACCGACGGATTAAAGTGCTCTCCGCGACAACTCATGTTATTTAGCCTTTTAATAATAAACCAACTAGGCCCGGCAGTGATTCTGCCAAAGCAAAGGGATAATCATTACCAGAATTTTAAACAATCTAGTTACTCGAACACCACTCCACTCCATCACACACTTTTTGTCAAAAAACGAAATTAGAACCATTGTTTCAGCGCCACCAATTGGATCCAATTCTGTCATTTCTATCTACGGACAGTGGGTAAACAGTGAAAAAGTGTAATGAGAATCCCAGAACGCAAATGCAGGCCCACTACCAACCCATGCATCGACCAAATTCGTAAAAATTGACAAATCTAGCCGATTAGAGGGAGTTCAGTCCTAAACAGGATTTTAGAAATTTACACACGTATATTAAGATTGCTCTTGTTTTAAATATATCGTTATAATCAGTCTCGGTGTTTAATTTTTTCCGTGTTCTTTAAGTAAGATAATAGACCATATAAATATGCTCTTCAACGCAACAAACAACATACACAACATTTCGACCTAGCCCACATGTGCCGAAGCATAGCTCTCTTTTTCGACTCCTTCAGTTATTTTTCGGTTACCTTTTTCATAGAAAGCTTACCAACGAATATTTAAAAAATCAAAATGTCATTAAGTAATGTTAATCAATATTTGTATGATATTAATATCGATATTTATTTATTATATATATATATTATATTTATTATATCTATTCTTACCATGTTCATGATGTGTATGATGTGCCTGCAACGCATGATGTGCGAGATCTCCGCCTTGCACGGCCTCGTACGACGCCTTCAACGAAGCCGTACGACGGCCATGTTGCATCTAGAACATTTAGGAGTAGGTTATCGCGTGCAATCTAAGAAGATACAATATTTTCCTACAAAGCCTACCTAATCTTTCAAAAACTAGCGTGGCTGCTGAAAAAAATACTGTTAATTTTAATTCAGCAAATGCTATAACTTTCGAGGGATGACAGATAATAGATATAATAGATAACTAGCCCCAATTTTTCAGATTAACTTGAAATTTATTTTATCTTAAAATACTAGGTAGTTATTTATAAAAAAATTGTAAGTGATTTAAAATGATGAATGATGATTATGATCTGGTCTTTTGTTTCATCATTTTATGGTGTAGTAAGGGCGTATACAAAACATCAATTTTATTCACGCCTGAGTTTGTAATCTAGTGCCACTGGATCCAAATATCAAATACAGGTTACAGGCGGAGAGGTCAACCTGTGACCACGGCCCCAACCATATTGAGAGGTCAGGCAAAAGGAATGTAATAATTCCCGTACGTATTTATAATTCTGTAAAAATGCGTCGTATTCGTACTTATAGACATGACTTATTTAAAGACAGAAGAAAAATGAAATCTCAAGATTTGCTAGAAGATACAGGCTATCCTATGTGTCCTGGTAAATCTATGGCTACGGCGCTATGACCCGGTTTTAATTGTATTATAAAAATTAGATTATTTCCCTTATTTAAAAATATAAAGCTTTCCTAGCCACAATTATGTGTTAAAACTACACTAAAATATCTCCTATTTCAAATGGTGCTTTACTTATGGCGGCATAATTATAATTAGTTTTGTAGCATAATTATAATTTTAATTAGTTTAGTTTGGTAGCATAATTATAATTAGTCATATAGAACCCTTATAATGAGTCTTAACACCACCTGCTGTGTTGCGGCTATAGCCTGACTGGCTGCTGCAGCTATAGCGCTACCGGCATGACCCAGAGAATACGAGTCCCTGCCTAAAGCAGCCTGCAAACAAAAATAAAGTATCTTAACTAGAACAAGTATTAGGGCCTCGTGCAATAGACGGCAACGACCATATTAACTAATAAAGAACTGGTCGTGGTCGTTCTGGTGCGCGAGGTGCCTAAGTAAATCTGGTCCTTAAAGGTAGTATTATTATTGGCTAGATTAAATAAAAGTGAATTGACTGTGATATATGACGTACACAAAAAGTAATGTAAATAAAAAGTATGTAACAAGCTAATTATTTTTGAATTATAACACAGTCAACCAACTTGGGCGCCGAGGGTTCCGTGCCTACTCAGATTTTACGTAGATTAAGTACCAAAATTTTTATATTTCGAAATTTTGCCTTTATTTGTGCTGTAAGACCTAGCTTTTTGCCAAATTTCGTGATTCTAGTTCAACCTGAACTACGACTACCACTAGGTTTTCGACCCACAGGCAGTTTGACAGCACAAGTAAAGGGAAAATTTTGAAAAATAAAAAGTTGAAAATCAGATCATTTTTGTACTTAAGTTTTTGCGGAAATCTAAATTTGACCATATCTTTTTGTCGTGTTGACTAGGTTGCCTGAACCTTGATTTTATAAACCTAACAGGGACTATAGACCTCAGTATCTTGTATAAATTTAACTTGCTAGGTCTACCCGTTCTTGAGAAAATCGGTGGTGACACATCGAAAGACGGACAAGAGAGTAAGTTCTTTTTTTTATATTTTGAGGTACGGAACCCTTAAAACCAAAATTTACAATTACAGTACAATTACAATTTACAGGTTATTACGGGCTTTCCGTGTTCTCAAGAAATTAGACTAATGTATATCTAAAATTACTTGAAGTAATTGTACTTCGCAAATTATTAGTCGAGAAACTTCAATGTTCAAATAAAAAAACTTTACTAACATTTTGAGTAATTTCTATAATTTCAAAAAAATGTTTTTTTTCTCATTTGTTAAGTTTAACAGTTTTACATGCATATTGCAAACTCATTAAGTTAACCAATTGTTAGTAGGGTAGGTAGACAACCTTTTGTCTATTGTGTATTTAGTACCATTGTCACAATAGTTTCTTTTCACACTTAGATCTCACTACATAAAGGTTTGACAAGCTAAAAAAAACGCAGGTAGTGTAATTTTGTGAACTTTAAATTTTAGCAGAAATATATAGTGGTCATTTGTTATAATTATCACCACAGAGATCCATAGATGTTGCTTTGTTAAGAAAACTCAGACTAATACAACCAAAGTAGAGTTTAACTTCACACTATCCATGCAACTTATACATACACAAAATCCCAAATTACTGTATCCCTGAAGGGGTGGGCAGAAGCTTATTCTTCTTTCTTCTTTTAAAAAGACAACTCCCGCATTAGGAAAATATCCTGTGTCGCGGGGGACTTTACAAACATACATGAAATGGACACAAATAACCCCCCAGACTTGGAACAACAATTTGTGGATCACACAAAGTGTCGTCCCATGTGGGGTTTGAACCCACAACACTCGGCGTAGTAGGAAGCGGGGTGGCAACCGCTTAAACCACTACGCCATCTGTGCAGTCGAACAGTATATAGTACATAGTACATGGTATATAGTATCGAACAGTATATATAACAGTATTGAAAACCTAAATTGAATTTGGTCTCACTCATATATAGGGGAGGGCAACAGGCTATTGGTGTCAACTCAGCACTGAGATTTACAATACACAATAGAAACAAGGAAAAGAAATAGACTTTGCTTATATTGGTCAATTGGGGTGTACACTATAGATTAAGCTAGTCAGAATTGTGTGTATGTATCTTGCTGTTGCATGGAGTTCAGAGCCTCCTAATTAATATATGAAGAAATATTAGATGCTTCAGCCTCTCTTATGTAAATTAAGTATTAAAATATCTATTCATTTAGTGTTTACAATACCTGAATGGCAGAATCAGTCCTTGAAAGATTTCCAGATGTTTGTCCTCGGGACTCCCGGTTGTTCCAACTGTTTCGCCGCTTTTCAGCACGAATACGGTATCTGCTATACAAAGTAATACTAACTTGAAATAATTATGTAACCATTTTGTAAGTTTTTTGTGGTGGTAGATATGTACACCTCACTGAAGGTATTTTTATTAAAATTTTGTTATGAGTTCATGAAAAAGAAGCAGATTAGAGAGCACTGTAGACATTAAAACTAAGTTTTGGTGCTTTTAAATAATAATTAAAATGTAAATACATAGAAAGAAAAACAATTTAAAACAATCCCTCAAACTATTTTTGTAACATAGTTTTAACATATTAAACAAAAATGAGACAAAATATAATATCTAATTTTCACAATAACTATCTTTTCCCAATTCGAAAGCCCGGTCTCCACTGCAAGCAGAACGAAACTGTTAAGGACTCCATTTAACACAGAAGAGGAAACTGCATACTTATATTTCCACCCACAAATAGTCGGGTGGAAAGCAAAAAATCGAACAAAAAGAGTGAAAATAAACTCGCTCAGATCTAGAGAGCATAGCAGAGTAATTAAGGGGTCAATGACAAATTACATAGTAGTTTCTAGACAGAAAGAGGTGCGCTGCTTAGATTAAATGAGTTAAAAGTGGTTGAAATAAGTCTGGTAAGGCAAGGCAGGATGAAATTCTTCGATGGTGGAAATGTAAACCTATTCCATTTAAAAGGAGTCTTGTACATTTCCGGTGCCATCTAACTATTTTCTGCTCATTACTCTTTCGCCGTGATAACCAGGCTTAAAAAGGGAATTTATTACATGAAGATTGTATACCTGTTATCTTTGTAATGACTACTGCTGGAAGTGCCGGTATGATTGGTGTTTGTATCTAATTCTAGTGAACGCTTCTCTAATAGTTCTGTAATCCCCTTGTTGTCAGCTTCCAGCTCACATTTAAACTTGTGCAGTTCTGTATCTGTATTGAGCATTGCAATTTAAAAAACAAGAAAAATTTAAGAAATTTAAGAATTTTGCAATTTAAGAAAGAAAGTAGTTTTTTTTTTAATTATAGTTATGTAGTAACGACTATAATACGAACCCAATCGCCGCAAGTATCTGTCAACCAAATCGTACATCTGGTTAGCCAAAGCCATTTTTTCGTCTGCCTCTTCTATGGTTTTATTATACCCCCTTTTGATATCGGCAAATTCAGTATTGGCTTGGTCGGTATTGATCTCACCACGTCGACAGCCTCCGAAAAGTGTACGTACTCTTTTTTCCAATGTATCTATGTTATCTAAAAAATACATATTTTTTAGAAATATTGCACTTCTTTTCAAAAGAAGCCAATTAAAAAATGATTACTTTGAACAGATAAATCCATTTCACGCAATTCGGTAAACCTGTCTCTGAGTTCCTGCGGCAGATGCTCAATCACTGAAAATAAATGCAAATACTGATAAATTAAGTAGATTTATTAAAAGTAAACATGTCAAATGCACTTTTTTTTAAATAGACGCGCCATGTTCAGTCTATAAATTATCGACATACGCCTCAAGGCTGCCAACATTGACGCAAAGTATTGCGTCATCACAGAAGAACAAAGAATCTCTTACTTTCCAAATAATCCTCAAGGTACAGCATTTTGGTAAGTTATATTCACTATAAGTTATTACACTTAAAAAAGGGTTTTCCACATGTAATTCTATCACGAAAAGTGTAATCTGCGCTTGAAGCCAAAGAATATTGACGTGTACACTGTGCAACGTCACGTCAAACAAACAACTTCAACTTTGCTATTACTAGTGATGCTTTGTCTGCGGAATCAAAGGTTATATTATCGATAAAAGTGTAAAACTCTTAGAGATATTTTATATTTAACTTAATAAATACTATACTATAATCGTTCCCTTTAATGTTCACTAATTCACATTTTGATTTTCAATATTGATGTACTTCACTGACCGAAGTGCTAGAGTATAGTGTGGTCGCGGAGCAGAAAGAATTTCGTACGTTAACTTTTTAGCTACCTGCCTGTGTCCCTTGAGACTAAATCTATTGCCGTCATGCTTACACCGATGCGATGACAGCTGTGTGGAGAGATTGTAAGTCTTTTGTGCATTACAATAAGCTCTGCTTTTGTACCGGAACTTTTGTTTAGCCGTGCCATTACTTTTCTGATTCAAATAATAACGTTCTCCATTTTTACATTATATTATTATGATTCTTAAATAAGCAATACTAAAATAATTATTTTCTTCTATTTCATAAATAATTATTACTTTTAATTTTACTTTAAAGTGTTATAATTAGTATATGATATGGCATCAGTGCGTTGACTTTGTCTATACATGAATGTAGTATATTTGTATAAACTTAATTTAGCAATAAAATAATTACCTAAAACATAGTTAAGAATTAAATTACACATTCTGTAAATATATATACATTCTGCAAAATTTTATAGACTTGCACTGTAAGCAAAACCGTTTTTGACATCTAGCAGTAGGCATAAAAGTCATTGTATGAAATTCTTCCTACTTCGCGACCGCACTACAGTAAAATGTGTGAGGAACGAATTCTGTGCAACAGAAACTTAATATGTCATAGTATTTTAATTAAAAATAGTATTCTGTGTTTTATGATAAACTATTAAAATCAATCACTTAGTTGTTTAGGTTTTTTGTTTTATTACAAATGTCAACAGAAAAAGTCATGTTTCTGTTCTTATCGAAATGAGCAGCGCATCACCATGAATTAAACAGACCTACCAACCGCTTGAGATATAATGCGTTCGTGAAAGATACATTCTTTGAAATAGTTGCGTTCAGAAACTTTTTAATCAATATTCGTAGTAAAATTACGTACAATGAAGCAAATAAGCATTTTTTGTAAGTTACAATACAATTTTCATAATTATGCATTACTTTCTTAAGTTGTAACGACATTTTTTTTTAATTTTCACATTATAATTCACTTCTAAAACAAAATGTGCATTAAGTATATAAACAAAACGAAATTAGCGTCTTTAACAATGGATAATGTAACTATTACGATATGGACAATAATGATTGACCATTTCAAAATCATCAAATCATCATCATCAACAGCCTTTAATAGTGACCTTTCATGAAATGGTCGATTACAATATGAAATTTAGAATTTTTATGATTTGGCCAGGACATACGTATATACCTATATATTTCTAGTAAAGGAACATCAGTATATTTTCTACCACTCGATTTGCCAGTCGATCTCGATTTTAGTATGGATACATGCATCATATTGTACTATTCGTCTATGCTCGTATCTTCTTGTCACACTACACAAAAAAAAATTGTCTACTTTTTAAAACTAAATGAAGAGTCCAATAAAAAACTATGACTGACTACCCACCTTGGTATACCATCTACATATATTTAATAGAAAAATATTAAGTTGGTGTGTGTACGCCTCAAAAACTCCACAAAAGTTCTGCACCGATTGAGGTCAAATTTTGACACGAAATACAACACGCTTTTTTATATATATTTATTTAACCACATTGTGGCTGGTTACAGCAAGTTTTTTTTTTTCGAAGTATGATGCCAATAATAGCTTGAATTTTAAAAAACTTTACGTGTCGTATACAATAAAATCAGAGCTTGGTACAGGTTAATCTAAATTAAAATAATAATCAATTACCGTCAAAATTTAATAAATTGGAATATTAATTGGAATATACACCATTATTACTCATATTTTTTATCAATCACCTGCACTTTTGTCAGTCATTAAATATCAAATGTACCAAAATACGTTTACTAATATAGTTTACACATTTAATTTTATAACTTTTACACAACAGTACACGTTATATATGTCACCATTTTGTTGGTTAAGCGCTGAGTCGATGGCTGATAGTACCAACCTCTCGGAAAATTAATTGCTACTATCTGTTGGTAGGCTTTAGAGCTACGCCGCGTAGCTCTAAAGCCTGCCATCAGGTGGTACCGATAATATGACCCCACTCGCGCATATCGGTCATATCAAAAAGAGAGCACTTCCGCGGCTTCTAGTAACACAGATTGCAGGAAAGCGAGAGGAAAGCTGTTACACATAAAAACACTTATAAAACTCACTTCTGTTTGTCACTCAAACACACTAATCACTTTATTTTTACACAGTTTAATTGAATTCATTAGATCTCTAATGCAGGTTTATTTCAGAATAAAAAGTTTTCTAACTGTTATTAATATTTAAAAAGGATACATTGTTTTACTCACGTGTTATCTTCACATCACAGACGTGCAGCGCTGGACTTCGATGCAGAAAGTTGAATTGTTTGCGTCTACCTGCTAATTTCAGCTCGCTGCTGTCCGCCGCACGTCCGTCCGTCCTGCTCCAGTGCTCTCAATAAAGTGACTTTACTTTAAGTACCCGTAAGAAGAACGTTTGTCCGTTCGGACGAACCCATAATCCGACAGAATTTAATTACCATTTACATTCACAACGTAAGGGATGTTCTTGTGGATCCTATTTTATTGAAAATACATATTTAAACGTATTCTACTTTCCGTCTAAATGATATTCCATCAATCAAATATATCATAAATTTTCTAAATGGTATCTACTAACATAAACCTACTTTTCTATTTAACAAAAGCTTCCAACTACTTAAGTAATGCATGTTTGAAAAAAAAGTTTAATAAATTATCACTGTATTTATGAATGATTTTCTTTTTTAACTGCTACTCTTCAAGTACTTTGGTTAATATCAATACCTTCCCCTCTTAGTTTCTGTTTGCATGACTTTCCACTTGCCTTATTCTTTTTTAGATGTACCACGACCTTCACCACTGACTTGATTCCTCCTCCTGACAATATATAATAATATACAATATTTATCAGTTCATTAGTCCATCAGTCTATCTATACAACTATCTGTATGTATTTCTGGCTGAGGCTTCAGGCTCTCTGTATTTCTGTTTCTCGGTCTGTCCATACGGATTATCTACCTATCTTTCTATGTCTGTCTATTTATTATCCAAGTTTCTATTTCAATAAACATAGATACCGCGAGCGACTGTCATCAAATCAAATACTAGACGTTATCGAAGTTCTGTAGATAGACTTTGGTCGGCCCTCTTAGGGTGCCAACTACCTGTAACGATTGCCCTATGGCAACTATTCACAATAAGTAAGCTAGTACAAACTCATAAACAATATGAAGTAAATAATTAGCATTTCACGCGGCAAAGGATTATGAATATTTCCAGCTCATTTCGAATACCGAACATCATCTTTCTGTCATACGTAATCGGTTCTGTACCCAACTAGGACATAATTGTTTTAAAAAAAACTGCCTTGTTTTCTCATCTTACATCTTAGGTTATACAATTCATACTTTATTGGTAATCCAGGATTTATTTAGATTTAAATAGTCATCATGTCATCTTGTATACCGCTTATTTTGTCTACGGCCCATCAATATCAACATAAAATATAAAATATTTTTTATTCATTCTAACTCATTTTCCTGACTTGTTCATTTATACCGCCGGCCAAAAGTCTGAGACTACTCGTCTGTAAAAAAGATGTATTAGCAATAGATAAACAATAAAACAGGTCATCAAAATAAATCCGCTGCTCTGCATATTCTATTGTAAGCAAAGAATTTCTAAAAGGGCATTCTTTTGTATATTTCTATGAATAGGTACAATAGGTCTGTACTGTTTCAAACATGCCGAACGAGAGCCGTGCTAATCGTTAATATTTTGCTTATGTTTTACACTGACCATATTGTAGGATTATAAGGCATTCTAAAACACGTATTTCTTTGTAAGTATTATGTATTTAATTTTTTATGAAGTTTATTACGTGCTATTTTCCTAAATCTAAACTAGTAGGTACAGTCTACATTGAAGATGTCTTAAAATGTAGGTAGTAGTCCTAAGAAAAAACCATACTAGGTTCCAACTTTAAGGCATTATAGTGGTTCTATTACAGTCCGGGATTGCTTTTAGGGGCGATTCGAAGCGAATTGCAGAAATATTAATGAAAAGGGAATTTCATAACGATTTTAGAACGTAGGTAATGCTATTCCTAGCTATTCCGTTAGGGCTGAAATTTCTTGGAAACGGATTAATTTTCTAAAAAGATTCAAAGCACAGTTCTACGTTATACAGGTGCTATATAGGCTAAAAAATAAATTGGCGTTTTGGAAAACCTGATTTAATTTTCTTACTTTATTTAAGGTTGAGACCTTTGGCGGGTTGTATATATTGCTGTCAACCTTTCGTAGTCTGTTCACTCTTTTCGCTCTCACACTTCTTTTTCTTCTCTATTTTGTTTGAATCTGTTTTTAATAAAGTTTCATAATTGTCTACTTATTTTCTCTAACGCATTTATTCTAGCTTTAATTTTAGCAACGTTTTAATTGTCATTGTATCTACTTTTTTTTTCTCAATGTTTCTGTGCTAATTAGTAATTAGTAAAGTAGTAATTGGATCCAGAAGTCGATCGACTACATATTATATTAAAGAATTTGGAATAAGCAGCGTAAGGGATGATTTATATTAGACTGCGCCGTGTCCGGGCCGGGGCGGAGCCGGAGCGGATCCCGTCCGTGCTGCATGCGTATACTACACCGAGTGTTCAACGGGTTACAAGCCGCCACGGTCGCTTCAATATGGCGTAGTGATGTGAGCAATTTAATAATAATGGAGTTTTCTTTGGTGGAGATGGCTGCTATTGCGATAGCTATTGATGAAGAGGAAGCAGAAGCAAGGACTAAGAAGAACCAGATTAAACGGAAATGGAGCGTGCATCCTCTTTGGAGAAGGCGTCAATTTGACGGAGAATTTAATACTCTATGTAGATACTTACCGGACAATGAAGAAAAAATCTTTGGATATTTTTGGAATGTCCAAGGAAAACTTTGACATTTTACTAAATGAGCTAAAGCCCGCCCTTACAAGACAGCAGACGAGATTCAAGACACCGATAGAACCTAAAGAACGATTAGCAGTATGTCTCATGTAATCAGCAACCAAAATGACATGGCTTTTACACCACGTGATACAGAACAATCTATATTAGAATTAAGACAGTCCATATTTGATCAACTACGACCACAACATCACGAACAATTTACTAACGATGCCTTTGCGGTCAGAGAAAAATTTAACAATTACTTTTCTTCACCGGCCGGACATTTTTAATAATAGAACCTAAGAAGAATAATAAGAATAGAATAATAAGAACCTAAGGTACTGTGTCTATATCGTCAATCATTATGACTTTGTATTGTTGCAACTTTGTATCTAAGTATTTTTGATGCGTCATGTCATAAAGCTCAGGATACTTTCGGACATGTTCTATTAATTTTTCGTCGTCCATTATCCGCAAAGTCATGCAACAATGAATCTTGTTTCCGTTTCACAAGGAAACTGAGCTTCGGTAAAACAAAAAGAACGTACGTGCTCCCTCAATAAACATTCGTCGCTCACTGCCCGTACGCAGCACAGGAGAGTGTTCGTATTACGACGGGACGGGAGCGGGACCGTGCAGCAACCGTCGTGTAGACGAGCGTCGTCCGGGCCCGGACGGGACACGGATTATGCACTGTGTAATATAAACTGGTTCATATAAAATGTATGTAACGTTTCAAATCCGTGCCCCGTCCGGGCCACGTACACGGCACGCCCCGGGCACGGCGCGGTCTAATATAAATCATCCCTAACTTTACAATAAATTTGTCGATTGTTTTTTTTTCTGCCTCATTGGTTGGACTTACGTGTCTTTCGAACTTGGTCTTTTTTTGGGTCTTTTATTCATTCTTTATAACTGTTCATTCTTTCTACACTACATATACATCTACCCTAGCTTCTTCCTTCCCCTTATTTCTAGTAAAATTAAAAGACTTGCTTGCTACTGGCATGGTATTGTAATATTTGTAGCGATAATATTGTAGTAATGTTGCGAACGTAGAATAATTATTTTCTCCAGTTTTGTCCAACCACAACTGAAGTTAGAAAATAAAGACGCGTAGTTTATCTTCAAAGATAATTAATACATTTGCAACGTCTTCTAACTGTTTGTTTCCGGAACCTTGCAATTGTAAGTTCAATTTATTTTAAATGGGTGAAGATACGAAAGATTTTAAATGTGTGAAGAACGAGATCTCAGATGAACTTGGCTTAAGTTCATCTGAGATGTTGGATCAGAAAACTGCTTCTGCAACTCAGTCATGTTTTTGTCAGCTGGAAAAATCTCAACCTGTGCCCTGAGTTCGTACATTCTTCCCAACATTTTACCTTTCGACAGCCAACGAACTTCTGTGTGAAAGAGAAGTGCCTCTTGGTCTGAATCCATTTAAGTGCATAGTTTTTTAAATAGGCGTGTATTTAAGGCGCTACTTTTGATAACAGTTACCACTTTTATGGCCAATTCCATTGTATTCTTAAGACAGCCAGAAAGTTTTTGAAGCTAACGCTTGACGGTGTATTGTACAGTGCGTTGTTATAGCTTTCGAACTCTTCTGTTTTACCAACGTCGCCAGACCGTAGCTTGATATCAACATCGCTGAAGCACCATCTGTACAGAAACCAACGAGTTTCTCCCAGTTAAAGTTATGTTTTTGAAAATATTCCGATATTGTGTTGATGACGTCGATACGTCGTTGTTTTCAGTTCTTGCATAGAATTGAATACAAGCAACTGACAACAATTAGAAATGTCAGTTGATTCATCACAGTGCAAAGTGAAGCATTGAAACAAGTTGCTCTTCGATATCATTTGTCTTTATTTCAATTCAAGTTTTAACCGTGTCGTTCGACAGAATTATTCCTAATATTTTTCTTTTGGCCTCTAATCCCAAAACTCCAACACCCAAAGTACATCGCCCACGTAATTTTAAATTGTTCGCCAACCAATTTAAGACTCGCGCGGACCACTGGTTGGGAGCCAATGGTATAGATATATATTTACGCCTAGTTGTGAAACGAGCCTAGTCAGTTCATTGTAACTTCATACATCGCGTCTAGTTCTCAAAGGGGTATCTTTCTATTATAAATATAAACGGATTAATAAGAATTCAAAGTTATACGTGTTATACAATAAGGTAATCATTTTAGCAATATGTTAAATAACTAACAAAAGTCTTATCGTTGTAATTTTTTTCTAATGTCTACTCAAGTCTAGTTTTTACAATCTCTGGGATAAACGTTGTCTTTAACGAGCACATAACTACATGTAAATCAGAAGGTATTATTGCAAACAACTTGATGTGGGTACATCATAACGCAATTTTTTTATGCATACATTATACAGGTAATTATTAAGCACTAGTTTCATGTCTCGACACAAATTTGTGTGGATTTAGAACTATTAATCTTTAAAAACCTTGTCTATGACGTTATTTAAAATGAATTCTTGTTTAATATCATTTTATGAGTGGGTAGACCTAACAATTATTGCACTTTTTACTGTTATGAAGTAGACTTGTTCTTTCCATTGTCGCTTTTCTTGGAAAACAAGCCCTTTTAACAAACTTTTACATTTCTCAGCTAAATAAATGTTAAAGGAATATCTATACAATTGCTAGCACGAAATATTATGTGCCTCGTAACCATTGATTACTATGATATCCTACTTCAGGTAGGTGGGTAGGAATCGGTGCGATTGCACTCAGGGGAATACTACAAATAATAATATGCTTTACGAAAGCTGTACCTAACCACAGTTGTACACAAAGATATCGGTCTTTTTATTTTTGATAAAGTTTACTGAATTATAAAGGTGTTAGGTATTAGTGTTTTTACGTTTTATCTGATTTAATAATTTAGTTTGTGAATGTGGAGGGTAGTCTTTGCTACCGTTGTACCTACTTGTTGAATTGTTACACTTATTAAAAATTACTTTTTAAATAAATTGTCATTTCTAATGGATATTGCGTCTACTGTTTAACCTACTTCTCAGTTCCTCAGTTCATCCAGCTGGGGGACCTTTTACCTTTCTTTATCGAATTACAGTCTTCACTGTAGGACATACACACATTATCTGTCAACCTAGCAGAAGCAGGCCGGGGTGGCGGCGAGCGCGTTGCGAAGCGCGCTCGCTTTCAGGGAGCAGAGGGAACATGGGGTTCCCACACGGCGGGGGGGGGGGGGGGGGGAAAGGTCGTCTACTTGTTGTAGATGGCCCGAGGTATGTCGGGGCACAGGGACTTCCTTTTTAGGGTATACCTGGTTCCCCGGCTATTAGTACCCGAGACGGCATGCGGTTTTAGTCGGTTCGAGTCCTACATGCCACCGATGGTGGTATCCGAGGGGATTTCCGCGCGGAAAAAAAAGACGAAAGTTATTTTAGAACACAATAAGATTAATACCAGGAACTGCGTAAGAGTGGTTTCTGGAAAATAAAATTCGTGCAATGGTTCGTTTAATGATTGAGATTAAAGCATATTGTTTTGCCACATTTTTTTTTCTTTTGCAGGTTACTCAATAAAAATGATTAGAAGACCATTGACAGAAATTACTTTGAAACTCGACGATTTACAAGAATACGAAACTTTTCGTCGAGAACAAGGAAATAATTCCAGCTCAACGCACGAGATGCAGGAAGACATACCACCAAAATCCTCGACTGCAGGAGCCAAGACCACCGAAGAAATACACAACAGAATTGGTTATGCTCCCAAAAAGAAACCCAGTGGTCCAAGTACTGTGTAAATGAAACACAAAGAGTGATGTACATCTTTTATTTGCATTTAAACATTTTAATTATGTAACGATCTTTAACTTAAAATTACATAAAAGTGAGTGTAATAATCGATATAAGTATGAAAAGTATAAGCCTCATTTAAAATTGAAAAGACAATAAATGTGTCATTTAACATCGAGTTAAGTCAAGTCATCTTTTTATTTAATCTACCAGCTTTCCTTTGTAGAGACTACCCTCGGCGATCGATGCTCTTTTCAATTCAATTCGCTTCTGTCGACGCCAGAGAACACACCATAGCCTGTCAAAAAATAGCTTAGGTTACTTATAAATTAGTAAAAGTTAGTAAAATCAGGTAGGTATTTCTTTACTTTTTGCATCGTTAGAAATTAAAACATAAATTCAAGATTTACAATATATTTATAATATACCGTGGTTAGACCATTACTATTACCGATAGTATTCTAGGAACTTCTATCAATAATTCCTAAAAGATCAAGGGCCGGAAATTGTTCTTATTTAATACTAATGCGTAAGTGATATTCATATTCTCGTTTAATAATAAATCCCCTAACGTATTATTTACTTTTAATTAAACAAATGTTAAGGTACCAACAATAGAATAAAAATTGTAAAATTTAAACAATTACCTTAGAGTTAAGAAATATATTATTTCAATGACGCTGAGGATGGAGAAGCCCATAAACAGTCCAAGTAATCCACCGCAGTTGGCGAGGAAGTCCGTTTGTCCATATAACTCTGAGCGACGGGATGTTATGAACTGGGCTTCTTTAAAGAAAACCATCACTCGAGAGAACAATAAACTGAAAAAAAAACCGTTCTATTCATCTCGGCAGGCAGTACTAACTTACTTCTTTTAAATCGTATCAATATGAATCTTTGTATTATAGTAGGAATTTTGAGTACAAAATGCTAAATTTCTGATTTTTCTGCAAGTCAAAAGATAATATAGCTTCCCCTGATTAAAGGGTAAGGACCGGCGCTGTGTAAGAGATATGGACCCAATGATGAAGCCAAAGTGTTTGAAACCACAAGTAGCATTTTAGGGGTACAGGTGAAAGTATTATTAATTAGCTACTAGTCTACATTTAAGTGGATTACTCGATGGCGGCTAAAAGGAACTTTAGTACTATATAATGCATTGTGTACGAAAGTGACCTACTTCCAAACTGTAAATGTCTTTAAATAAGGTATTGTTTAGAAATGGGTTAGGCTCTTGATACGGTTAGGATGAGGAAGTTAAGAGGAAGGTAGGCAGGTTCGCAAACATTAGCCCAGTCTTCTCTTTTTTTTTGCATAATTATGTTGCATAATAAGTAGATACATATATAAGTTTTACTGCAGTCTGGTGGATTTTAAAATTCCGGTTCAGCAAAGAATATTGAACATAACATTATATTTACAGCAATTTTGCACAAGGTATTGACTTTTTTAAACATCTTTTTTTTCATGAGAGACGATAAGACGCATTTGTTCATTCAAGTCTGGTTTAGCTGTTATTTACCTACAGAATAATGAAAACAACATACACGTTTATAACACAGAAGACTCGTTTGTCTTACCTACATTATTTTACTGCAATTTAATCACTATTAGATAAATACAAATTGAGCAAATAAATTTTATATAAAAAATTTATGTTCTAAACCCTAAAGATGTACAGGTGCCGGGTCCATCGCGTGATAGATAGGGGGCAACAAATGCGATTTCGACAGCGCCTGAGACTAGTGACCCAGGTATAGGTTTAGGGAGTACTCCTTGCGACGCGTCAGCACGCACCTTCACTGTCTGCTGTGTTACCCCCTCTACCTAACCGTATTTGATACAAGCCTAGCAATGCCGCTTTGCATATTCGTTCAAGAAAAGAGCTTACCGAAGCTCTTGGCAATCCAGGGTCTTTAAGCAGGTTATAGAGGGATTTAGTTGGTATACCCCTCGCACCCACTTTACAACATCAAGGACTTATGTCCTTGATGTTGTAATAACTAAAAATGTAATAAAAAAAACTAAAAAAAAACTAAAAATGTAAACCAACGAAATAACTAAAAATGGTTATCCATTTTTAGTTATTTCGTTGGTTAAGTCAAAGTACTTGTTTCTTTTTAAAGCGTAGTCTTTTGGGATGTTCGTTTCCCACGGCACCGTGAGTTTTACTAGTACTACACACTTAATTAAAATTCAAAGCCATTTCAAAGCTGGTGAGGTACAAAACTCTCCTAGAGTTAACCATTCATTCTGCATACTCGTATCTAGGTTTATTGCGCGCACCTATCGTCGTTTTCATCTTGTAAGAAAATATATTTTTTGGCGTACCCAATATTAAAATAACATTCTGTGTTATTTGTCTGTGTTATCTGTCAACAAAAGCAACGGCTTCTTAATGTTTTGAACCCCGACGCAAAAAGAAGGTTGTTATATGTTTGTTTGTGTCTGTGTGTCTGTCTGTGTTATCGTAGTTCCTAAATGAATGGACCAATTATGATGTAGTTTTTTTTTATTTGAAAGCTGACGTGATCGAGATGGTTCTCAGTTATAATTTGTGAAGATCATCAGTTCGTTTCTTAGTTGATCAAGGGATCTCACAACTTACACAACTCCGATTGATTTGAAATTTGGTGAACCTACTGTTACTTTAGTGGTATTTCTATGATATGGTAAATTTGACTTGATACTGCAGCCAAACCTTACGTTGATGCTGGTGTCAGAGATGTTTTAAATTTGTGTTATTTATTTACACAAAGGTATTCGTTATGTAGCTCGTGATTTTTAACGATAGCTCAACCTCAACTATGTAAGGTACACCGGAAAAAATAATGTAGGTATTAGAAAATGTAAGTAGAGTTAAACTCGCTTGTATGTAAGAAAGTAAGTATAAATATTTGTATTTATTCAAACTAATGTTTAGTACTTACTCTTCTAAATCTTCGGTAATATTTAATTTATAAACTCTGTATATGGCTTGCCAGTCGTAGTCAGCCTGAGATGTTTCTGCCTCATACTCTATAGATGTACAAGCTGGAAGGCACTGGCATCGAGCAGACACTTTGAAGGCTTCCCCTAAAGACTCCGAGTCATTGTTTTTTACCGGGTTCATACTGTTCAGTCGGGATTGAATTGCGATAGTCACCAGTTCCACTAAATAAAATAATATTTTTATTAGAATATATCCATTAGAGTTATTTTAATATTTATTTTGGTACACTCATTACAATTTGTTTTGTGCATTTGCTTAGTTACGCCAGCCAGTATAAATTAATTAATACGAGTATAATCATTTGTGGAGGCTGGCGCTCCTAAAGGGACGTGACTTATTTCAGGTGTCAGGGATAGACGCAGAACGACCTCCGTCCTCCATAAGCGCAGGCCTGGGGGTGACAGGTGAGGCCATCTGTCACCCTAGCAGAAGCAGGCCGGGGTGGCGGCGAGCGCGTTGCGAAGCGCGCTCGCTTCCAGGGAGCACAGGGAACATGGGGTTCCCACACGGGGGGGGGGGGGGGGGGTCGTCTACTCGTCTGTAGATGACCCGAGGTATGTCGGGGCACCAGGGCCTTCCTTTCTAGGGTATACCTGGTTCCCCGGCAATTAGTACCCGGCGAAGGCGTGCGGTTTTAGTCGGTTCGTGTCCGACATGCCACCGACAGGTGGTATCCGAGGGGATTTCCGCACGGAAAAAAAAAAAAAAAAAAAAAAAAGGGGGTGATAGTTTGCTCTATTTTATCACTAAAATCATTCTACAGGTGGGGTCTAAACCCAACGGCCTCTGAATGGCAGACATTTTTGTATTTTGGTTGACTTTTTCGTAGCGTCCATACTAAAAGTTATGTAACTTTAGAGTTTAATGTCCGATTATCGTAAAACAAAAACTTCCCATAACGGAAAAGTATTAGCAATCAGATAAATAACTCAAATAATTTTAATAATTGCTGTATCATATTAAAATGAATGCTAAAAGATCAACTTTACGTCAAAATTAACATCTTTTTTTAGTATTTCAAGGCTATTACAAAAAATACCCCTGTGAACTATCTCTTATTATACACGTGTCTCACAGATGGTAAGCTTACCTAAATAATGATACTGCGTGCCTTCAAAGTGGGGGGGGGGGGGGGGGGGGACATTTTGAACAATTACTGTAAATGTACATTTGTTATTAAATAATTAATACTTGTTATTTTGTTTATCTTTGCTAATCACTGTAAATATCTAAAGAAAAACCAAATCGTTATGAATTCACTACATGCACAAGCCTATGTTCCAACAACAATATTTTTTAAACCAATTGTCATAGAATCGAGTTTTTGGTATCATTATTTAGGTCAGCTTACCATCTCTGAGACACGTGTATAATAAGAGATATTTCACAGGGGTATTTTTTGTAATAGCCTTGAAATACTAAAAAACGATGTTAATTTTGACGTAAAGTTGATCTTTTAGCATTCATTTTAATATGATACAGCAATTATTAAAATTATTTGAGTTATTTATCTGATTGCTAATACTTTTCCGTTATGGGAAGTTTTTGTTTTACGATAATCGGACATTAAACTCTAAAGTTACATAACTTTTAGTATGGACGCTACGAAAAAGTCAACCAAAATACAAAAATGGCTGCCATTCAGAGGCCGTTGGGTTTAGACCCCACCTGTAGAATGATTTTAGTGATAAAATAGAGCAAACTATCACCCCCTAAAGTTTGTACAGTCCGAACCAAGACACATTGTATAATTTAAACATTTAAATTAATATTTCTATCTCAATAAAGCCAATAACACTATTTTAAATTGACAGTACGATTGGTTGTTAATATACAGTTGGCCGACTTACTCTGAGCTTTTTTAACGCATTCTCTACTACCCGCATTGCACACCTCCATATTGGGTCCATCTGGAACACATCAGACGTTCACAAGTTACGAAATACTACGCGACAGACATATAGCTCTAATAATAGTTTTTGTTTCTTAACAAAGCCTCTAGTTTAAGTTTGAAAAGCTTACTACTACGTATTTTGGTATCCACCGTTATATACGGCGGTGGTTATAAGTGTCTAAACTACGAAATGTTATAAATAAAGAGCAATATATTATTTGATAATAATCATCAACTTCTTCTCTCAAAGAAGACAAAACAGAAAGAATTGAAAACGGATGTTTATTTACTCTTTTAGGGTTTCTGAATGATAAAAGGTCCTGGTTATAAGATCACTCGTATTTCTGTCTGTCCTCGATTGATTACGTCCAACTTTTATTTATTATAAGTGATATGAGAACAAAATTTCAATCGTCCGTGTCGAGTGGGTTTAATGAGCTATAACCTTAAGTCTGTAATTACGTTAACTTATTTAAGTCTGTAATTACGTTAACATATACTTACAGGGCATACCGAAATGTACGCAGCCACATCGAGTGTAAGTAAAATTTGAGAGGCACTCCATCTCGCAGTTAGCCTGAGTGTACACTTTGAAGTATTGAAGATAGCGCTCGCTTGGAAAATAGCATTGTCGCCTGTGAACAAAAGTAAAAGTAACACGTTTTTCGTTACTTACCTCATGTTGAACTAGGTAATTATTACTGAATCTTTTTGTTATCCACGAAAGGATAATTATTACCATGTGTTTAAATTTCACAGACATCATTACAGATAAAACGGTATTGGTGTATATGGAATAAAATGACTGTCTGCGTCGTTTGGTGCTTTGCTTGACACTCAGATCAACTTGTGATAGTTATAAGTTTGAGGTTTTTGCCTTTTTTTTTATCCGGTTTAATACAGAATTAAGAATACTCATAATTCATCGTTCTACGTATAGGTTATTAAGGTTGATACCGACCTTGCTTGTAACGGAATCAAGATCAACAACACAGTATTTTTAGTCTCTTTCAGACGTATGTTTATTTAAAATCTTTTGCACATATATTACAATAAAGTAATAAACACTAAAAGATAAATTTCCTTTTTTTAGTTAAGTAACTTATAAACCTTAATAAATTTAAAGAGGAATGAAAAAATAATAAGGTAATAAAGATCAGTTAGTGAATACACGAAGGTCATGATATTTGTTAGTTTTTGGTCTTTGGAGTTTTCATCATCATCATCGTCGACAGCCTTCAATAGTCCACTGCTGGACATAGACCTCTCCTTAGAAGGAGGTTTAAATTTCAGTAAAAAACAAAGTGGTAAAGAAAGATATGAATAAAACGAAACCGAAACGAAATTGCTTTCTAAATTAAATAACATTTCAAAACACCAAATATATTTACGTATGTAATAATTTAATATAACTATGGTTTTAGTTAAAATCTGTTAACACATCCTCTTGGAACTTATTATGTATTACATCTTTACACTAATACCTAAAACCAGTTTTGGGAGTTGTTCCAGTTAATGTGTATTTATAGCGAGTGTCTAGGGAACGAATACTTTCCTGGTCGGTTCGTAAGGTCGAAGGCCTTCGGAAGTAGTCATCATTTTAGGTTTCACCGCAACAACTACTTCTTGCGATAGAGGAGATCGGAAGTACTGTTGTGAAAGCCTGGGTAATTCTGCCGGATTGTGCAACAATATCTAAAACACATTACAGGAAGTGTTTGAAATTCTAGAAAATAATATAAAATGAGGTTTTAAAATAGTAGTAAAGTGAACTTATTCTAATTAAGAAAGTTAATCACCTTAAATCCTTGAACTGGCCCGCGGCAAAGATAATCCAAGTCGACCTCTTTGGCTTTCAACAAGAACGTCAAACCAGATTTGACACCGTATCCCTGTAATAACGAATTTATTTCGGAAAAGCGTGAATGGATAACATAAGCCATTAACCAAAAGTTGAAGTTGAATGGATAACATGTCACCGTGACTTTTTGTCACTCTCAGCTTATGAATGCGGAATCAGATAAAAGGAAATGCCACCATAGAGACAGTGAGTTGACGTTTTCTAGGCAAGTTCTTAGAATGGGAAAATGGAATCGTGAATAATGTCATGCGTGCATTCTCTTCCTTGACTGTCATTTCCATTCCATAATACGAGTACAGAATAGACAGTGGTAAGTATTTTTCCAATATAATCCAAGAAGGACCTTCTTGGATTATGAAAATTTATGAATTATATTCACAATTTATCTTATGAAAAAAGAGAAGTGAATATTAAGTTAAAAAAAACAAATAATTTTAAACAATAAAGAATTCGACAACGACGGTGACAAGGTCATAAACCTCAAAATGAAATATAAAATTCGACCAAATTATTAAATCATGTTGTAGCTTGGGTACCTACTTAGCAATAAAAATTTTGCAAAACTATGACAGATTAATTATGGGGTCTTAATTTAAAACAATAAAGAGTAACAGTCACCAGACGGTCTTGCGAACCGTATGATCTGGTCATCATACTTACCGAGCCTCGGTGTGGGTATGTTTCTATTGGCGTTCCTAGCTCGTAGCCTTCTTCCAAACTCCATGATTCTGCTGTGTTTTCGTGTTCCAAATACGGGTAATCACCATGTAAGCTAAATAAAATTTGATAAAGGTCAATTAATGTTTATTTCAGAGGCTCTTTGTAAAAATAAATAATTATGTATTTACTTCTCAGTTCTGAACATTTCCTCAGCTCCCAAAGTGTTGAACGTGTAGCAGAGTCCTTCTTCCGTCAAAATAGGGGAAAATAGGTCCGAACAATTTTGGCTAGGGATATCTTTCCATTTACAACCAAAGAAAACTTCAGTGAGATTTGGTGAAACCTGTACAATTATTTACATCATAAATTTTAGTTTGTATAATTTGGCCTTAGAAAATTAAAAAAGGTTAAGTAAAGTGAGAGTTGCACACTTTTAACAACTAGCTTATGCTTACGGCTTTGCTCGCCATAGATATAAATTTGGTTAATAAATTTGGCCGAAAAAAATAGTAGCCTATGTGCTACTCGTATTCTAGACTAAAATCTATCTACGTGTCAAATCGTGATTGAGTAACAAAGATTAAGTATCTTTGTTATTCAATCAAATCGTTTTGAAAAATAAAATAAAAAAGTGTCAAATTACTATAATTTTTGAATACAAGTAAACTGAGAGTTTGGAATCGATAAGTTTAAAAGTTTGGTTTGTTGAAGTCCAAAAGAAAACACTTGATTTTTGTGTCTATTCCTTATAATATTAATTATTCACGATGGCGAATTTACAGACATCAACACAGTTCACTTATTAACTACGGTATCGGACGAGACATGTCTTTATGTTCCAAGCTATTTTGACCGTCCGTCTTAGAGAGCGTCCCGCGGTAGCGGAACTACGTCATCGAGTCGGAGAGTGATGTAACAGGCAATACAGGCGTAGTGATATGCAATACGCGTAGTGATGTGCAACGCCACACCACCCCCCTACGGAGAAAAATAGGCATTTTTTTTTTACAAAATTTGGTAAATTAGGATGTTAAACAATATTTGGCTAGTTGCTAGAGACTACTGTATAATATAGTATACGAATAGTGTATATAAAAAAAAACTTATAATTAATTACACCTAAGTTACATCTAAAGTTAGAACTAGTCAGACATTATGAGGAAATTTAAATTTTACCGTTCGGCCTGACCTGGTGGTAAAGGGTTGTCGGACAGGAATGCCAGAAGGGTTCCCTATTTGGATATCCGGGGGAGCGCGACTAGGCTGGTTTACAAGAGGCGTCTCAGGCGACGCAGCAGCTCCTGGGACTACTGTAGGGGGTCAAGAGGTGGAAGTGCTTGGGTCGGGGTCTGAGAAGATGTATGCAGGCTTAGTGCGGTCAACACTAACCTCGACCAATTTGCCTGCGACCACAATGACGAGAGTTTTGTCTTTATGACTGACCACTTTATGAGGACCGGTGTAAGGTGGCTGTAATGCTCTCCGTACGGTGTCATCACGCAAGAACACGTGCGTAGCCGTTGCTAGGTCCTTAAAGATAAAGGACGCTGGAGAGCAATGACGTGAAGCCGGAACTGGTCGAATGTGGGCCATCTTGCGACGTAGCTGGCCAACAAAATCTTCTGTCGGTTCTGTATGGGAAGAGCTGGGTACGAGGAGTTCCCCAGGTAATCGCAGCGACTCCCCATATAAGAGATCCGCCGAAGTGCATTTAAGGTCCTCTTTGAAAGCTGACCTGATTCCTAACAGAACCATCGGTAGTGCCCGATACCAGTCCTCATCATGGCACATAAGAGCGGCCTTGAGCTGTCGATGTAACCGCTCTATCATGCCATTGCACTGGGGATGATAGCTGGTTGTCCGTGTGCGTTTGATCGCGCAAAGCTCCAGGAGTCGTTTAAAAAGTGCGGACTCAAACTGTCGACCTTGATCAGTGGTAATAGTGCATGGGACACCGTAACGTGATACCCAGCCGCACACGAACCTGAGGGCAACCTCTTCAGCGGTTATTGTTTTCATGGGCCAGACTTCCGGCCATCTCGAAAACCTATCTATTGCAGTGAGGCAGTAGCTATAGCCTTCCGAGATGGGAAGAGGTCCAATAATGTCGATATGAACGTGCCTGAGTCGCCCGGTAGGCGTGGTAAAGTTAGCGAGCGGTGCATTGACATGGCGCGTGACTTTACTGCGCTGACAGGGCAGACATTGGCGCGCCCATGCACGGCAGTCTCGTTGCACGCCGGGCCAAACATAGCGTTCAGCCACGAGACGCGCGGTAGCGTTTGCACCGGGATGACTCAGGTTATGTAGCCGGTCAAATACAAATTTTCTATACGCTCGAGTCACATACGGGCGAGGCTTCCCCGTCGAGGTGTCACATGTCAGGCAAATGTCAGTACCTGGGACAGTGAGCTTAGTCAGTTGGAGACTAGAGTTACCTCTGGTGAGATCTGCGAGTTCCAGGTCTTTCTCCTGGTCTTCCGCGAGGGCTGAAAAGTTCACCTCCAGTGAAATGGACTCAACTCTGGAGAAAGCGTCCGCTACGACATTGTCCACGCCCTTTACATACTGAACGTCAGTTGTAAACTGTGAAATAAACGACAGTTGATTTAACTGGGCGGGAGGCAACTTGTCTCTGCGTTGGATAAACGCGTAGAGTAGGGGTTTGTGGTCGGTATAGATGGTAGTGTGCTCAGCTTCCAGTATGTGCCTAAAATGTTGCACGGCTGAGTAAACAGCCAATAGTTCTCTGTAATAAGCAGGCCAAGCGCTTTGCTTGGCAGTGAGCTTTTTGCTGAAGAATGCTATTGGCTGCCAACCTTGGCTAGACAGTTGCTGGAGGCATGCTCCTACGTGGGTACTGGAAGCGTCAGTGAATAGACCTAAGGTGGCGTTGCAGTCCGGGTGAAATAGAGAAGTAGCAGACGCTAGGCTATTCTTGCAGACCTCGAAAGCCTCCTTAAGTTGTGGAGTCCAGGGAAAGGGTTTTGCGCCTTTACCTTGAACGGCGGTGACTGCGTCGATCAAAGGTGCTTGATACTGTGCAGCTTTGGGAAGAAAACGGCGGTAAAAGTTTACCATACCCAGAAAACGTCGCATACCCTGCACAGTCTTGGGAGGAGGAAAATCGCGAATGGCCTGGATTCGGTCCTCGGGTGGGCTAGTGCCTTCTGCATTTATGCGGTGCCCTAAAAACGTGACCTCAGAAACGCCTAAGACGCATTTGCTCGGGTTCACTACGACACCATATTCACTGAAACGCTGGAAAAGGATACGCAGGTGTTCTGCGTGTTCGGCAGGGTTCTTGGAGAAAACTAAAATGTCATCGACATAGGCAAAGCAAAAGTCAAAGCCCCGAACGACCTCATCAATAAAACGTTGGAATGTTTGGCCAGCGTTCCTTAAACCAAACGTCATAAATGGGAACTCGAAGAGGCCGAACGGAGTGATAATCGCCGTCTTTGAGATGTCGTCTGCAAAGACCGGCATCTGCTGATAAGCCTTTACTAAGTCAATCGTGCTGAAGACCTGGGCACCGGAAAGGCTGTTGCTGAAATCATTGATGTGCCGGACTGGATAGCGGTCAGGCACTGTCCGGGCATTAAGAGCGCGGTAATCGCCGCAAGGGCGCCAGGTGCTGTCCTTTTTCGTGGTCATGTGCAACGGAGATGACCAAGCACTCTTTGAAGGTGTAGCCGTACCACATCTCACCATATCTTCGAAAACTTTCCTGGCAGCAGCTAGCTTTTCTGGAGCCAAACGACGGGAACGACATGATACGGGAGGCCCTTCGGTGGTGTTAATGTGGTGTACCGTGTTATGCTTGACCGATCTGGGTAAACCCGGTGGACGCGTTATGTCAGGGAACTCAGCTAGCACTGAAGCAAAGCGTGAGTCGCCGGTGGACACAGCTTTAACGCTATCCTGTTTTATTTGGGCTACCCCAGCCGCGACAGACAGCTTGGTACTACCGTCTACAAGGCGCTTATGTCGGCAATCGGGCAGTAAATTATAATGACTTAGAAAGTCCGAGCCGATAATAGGGGAGCTGACGTCGGCGATTACGAAATCCCAACGAAAATCACGACGTAATCCAAGATTCAGGTTGAGGGTTATGTTGCCGTACGTCTTAATAGTAGTGCCGTTAGCGGCACTAAGGTCGTAATCTGCCGGAGAAAAGCGTCCTGTTAACAAACGACGCGGGAAACAACACAGATCCGAACCAGTGTCAATTAAGTAATTGTACTTTGACGACTGGTCAGTAACGAACAGGCGGCGTCCGGAGGGGTGGCAATCAGCTGCCGCCTCTACTGATTGCCCTGCTGGTTTCCCGAAACAGTCCAGGAACATGGCTGAATGCATTTTGCAGCGCGGGCAGCAAATCTGCGATGGTACCAGCAAAATTTGGCACCACTGGGGCCTGGAGTTCGACTCCTGCTACGACCGCGGTCGTTAGACGGACCGCGACTACGGGACCTGTGATGTTGCTGCTGGGACATAAGTGCTGAAACCTGCTTGGTAAGTTGTTCTACACAGGTGGCCAAAGAGGATAGGGTGGGACTGGTGTTATCCAAGCTGTGAACCTGAGGTGAGCTCGGCAGGTCCATGATTCTGTCAGCGAGTTCTGAAATTTTGTCTAAAGTAAGATCAGCTTGAGCTGCCAGAATAGCCTGAACATTATTTGGTAACCGACGGAGAAAAAGTTGGCGAAGGAGTTTGTCGTCCTTGCTGGACATGCCAGCGAGTGAACGAAGGTGCCGAAGGAAGGAGGAGGGCTTACGGTCTCCAAGCTCTTCCTCGCTGAGAAGTCGGCGAACTCGTTCCTCCTCAGAGGTTGACAAGCGCTGAATGAGTTGTTCCTTCAGCGTGGTATATTTGTTTGTTGCAGGAGGGTTTAATATTATGTCTTCAACCTCTCCTATTAGTCGCTGATCAATTGTTGACAAGACATGATTATACTTGGTAGAGTCGGTAGTCACACCAGCAAGATCAAATTGGGCCTCCGCTTGGGCAAACCAAACTGCGGGGCGTTCTATCCAAAATGAAGGTAGCTTTATTGCCACCTTTTCCACTTGAGGAGGGGATGGGGGATTAGTAGTCATTGGTGCAGAATAAAATTAAATACAGGTGACTTATATACTAAACAAAATATTTACAATTCATGTATGTACCTGGGCTGAGCACTAGGATGTGTAAAATTAAAATTATGTTCAAACTCAGGAAATAGATGTTAACTGTACACCTATTGCTCTGCTTTAAGGTAAATAAGAACACAGGAAAGGTTATAAAACATAGTTAGATAAGATGTAACACTCAAGATAGAAAGTTGTTAAAACCTTACAATTTTGAGCTAAATGCTTTCAATATTAGCAGGTTACGGTAACAACAGTTATTGTGATGCAGTGTACGTAAAAATACAATGGTTGGTGACTAAGAATCAAAGATGCAAGTCGCGAAAAGTAAGCTAATAACACAGGTATTAAAATAGGTTAAAATGTTAGGAAAATCACCATAAAAGTTAATGGAAAATGATGTATAGGTAATTATTACACAGTCCCTATGCTAAAAATACAGTAAAACTTTATTAACAAGGCGATTTTGCAACGAAAAGGTCCTTATACTCGTTTAAAATAATAAAATTCTTTATACCTGCGTTTACCGGAACGTAACGCTTAGCGAAGTGTCAACGTCTCCTGTCAAATTGAACGTTACCGTCTGCTGTCAGATCGGGCGAGTCCAAGTGAAATGCGCTGCTACATCGGGCGAGTCCAAGTGAAGTGCAATTTGAGCAATCCTTGATGTATGACTCGTAAGCGTAAACTTCACTGTGGAATGTTCTCGCACTTCTCGCAAGTAAGAACAACGCCATGAAAACGCACTTTTATGATACCGTATGGCAATGATGAATGTTTCTATACGTGCATACACTTATTCTTCTACTTATAACTATATTTACACTGAACACAAAACACTATCACAATTGGTATACGAGCGAGGCGCGAAAGGTGACATTGGCTGCCAAACCGACGTTTTTATGATGCCGATGAGGCGCTTCAATGAATGCCGCCGCCGCTCGTTGATTGTAAATGACTCGTAGATGCAGGTTGACGACGAGGGTCTCGACCGCAGGCTGAGGGGAATCCCCGTCCTTACCGTTGCTCGCAATCGCGGCGCGTGGCGCGATGTTCGCGGTGCCGCCGACCGCCGCTTGTCTCGTTGTCGCTGATGCCCGGAGCTTTCGTGAGCCACATAGGCACGAAACGCTCGACGGGGCCGGGATCGCCAGAATGTCCGCTCGAATTCAGAGTGCGTGCCGTAGCGCGATGCAAATTTCTTCTCGAAGGCGGAAAGAAAAAATAATGGCGACCGACCTGTTCGCTCGTGAATTCACGCGGGGTCACCAATTTGGTTTGTTGAAGTCCAAAAGAAAACACTTGATTTTTGTGTCTATTCCTTATAATATTAATTATTCACGATGGCGAATTTACAGACATCAACACAGTTCACTTATTAACTACGGTATCGGACGAGACATGTCTTTATGTTCCAAGCTATTTTGACCGTCCGTCTTAGAGAGCGTCCCGCGGTAGCGGAACTACGTCATCGAGTCGGAGAGTGATGTAACAGGCAATACAGGCGTAGTGATATGCAATACGCGTAGTGATGTGCAACGCCACAAAAGAAATAGTTTCCCATACAAACTTGCACCACTTTTTAAAGGTACTTTTGAAAAATTAGTAACAACGTCTTTATTACTTTTAATAAAGACTATTTACTGTGAGCTTGAAAAAGTTACTACTAAAAATAATAAGGTTTCATATAACATTTCTACCCCTTTTTTTTTTTTTTTCTGTGCGGAAATCCCCTCGGATACTACCTGTCGGTGGCATGTCGGACTCGAACCGACTAAAACCGCACGCCGTCTCGGGTACTAATAGCCGGGGAACCAGGTATACCCTAGAAAGGAAGTCCCTGGTGCCCCGACATACCTCGGGTCATCTACAGACGAGTAGACGACCCCCCCCCCGAACATTTCTACCCCTGATTTGTACCTTACGGGTGGAAATTTTGTAAAATCCTTTCTCAGTGCACACCTACGTTACCTAAGGAACATTTATGCAAATTTTCATGCTTCTTTTCTTGCTTTTCATGCTTCTTGACCCAACGGTTTCAACTGTGCGTTGATCGGTCAGTCAGTAAATCTCTTCTTTTATAGATTGATTTTATTAGTGAATTAACTTTTTCACATTATACCTTAGATCTTTTTTCTACATGTGTTTTAAAGGACCTCTGGTTTCTAGAAGGTGTTAAAAATAGTAGATAGAATAGTACTTTTCGACCAAAATAAATATAGATCGAAGTTTGTTAGAGAACAAAGTTATTTATATGCTCATTATTATTCTGGCTATTTATATGTTACACTTTATGTTTGTCAATTCGTATGGTGAAGTATCAGGAGAAATCCTCAACAACTAACTTTTAGGGACCTTTGAAAAAAATAAGTATTTTGTAAATGGTGATGAGCAGTTTAGGTAAAGCCTAGGTAAACATAATGGAGACACTTTCAAGACTAAAAAGAATGTACTAACCGACTTTATATTTTCCACGGTATCGAAACCAGATGCAAATTTCCTTCCATTAGCTGGTGCCAAATGGTCATCACAAACCATAGATATATCTTCAAGTAAGAATTGCCTATATATAAAAAAAACATTTCCACATTAAATCATAACAACTATTGTTTAGGTCAAATTAAAATGGGTATTTCAAACGGTTCTTACTCGTATTCTGTAAGATTATCTTTGTTTTCCATGTATAAGTGAAAATACTCCGTAAAATTAAACTTTCTTTGCATCGCTTTGGTTTCGAAGCACACAGTAACAGCCGGATAGGGTATTTGCCAAACTGGAGTCGGATTTTCAGCAAAACTAACTATCACTGGACTCTCGTTCCATTTTATCCACACTTTTCTAATCAATCCAGAGCAAAGAACCACGCAACAAATAAACATAAACAGCCAAAATATCCTATAAAAGGGAAAAATAAATGTTGTTATTAATGGAAAAATAAAATATTACGGTTTATTATTAATGAAAGTAACTTACTTTTCAATCCAGGTTCTATTTGTCTCGCCGATATATTTAAGCCCGTGAAGATTGGAATTAGCCGTAAAATCTATCAAGTAATCTTTAATGATGCTCCGTTTTCCTCTTTTCTTTTTCAATACTTCATTACTTATATTTTGTTCTTTTTCCATGTCGTCGGCGCTAACGCGGCTATCGGACCTATGGAAATATTGTTTTGGTAATCTATCATTTAATTTATAGAATATAGTTGTGAGTTGATGAGCTGCTGTACCTCGAGTGTCTCCACATGATGTCCAGGTATGACTACATCGAATAAGTTCTAAATAATTACTTGTTAGTTTGGGCTTGCTATTATTATGGAAATGCGTAACAATCGTCAGTGTTTTCCCATAGGACGCATATTTGCCAATTACGAAATTAAATTTGAACACAGCTGACTAATCTGTTAAATTAAAATTATTATTTGATATTTTAGTGGCTAGTAGTAGTTGTATTTTGTTTATATATAATATGTCCGTGTGGTGGCGGATGAGGAATACCTCCGTATTCCTCATATATCACAACCCCTATTAGTGCACTATTAAATGCTGTTGATATGATGATGGGATGGGCCAACTAAACGCACTGCTCCAATGAGACAGCAAGATTTCGTAAGCAAACAAAAATATCACTGAGGTATGCAATTTTTAGATTTTTGATCATTTTTGAAATTCCGTTTAACCGATTTCAATAAAATTTATATGGGACCACCTGGGAAGTTTACCCTTTAAAACAAAAAAGTATTTTCAAAATCGGTTGAGGCGTCTTCGAGTAATCGGTGAACATATGTACATTAAAAAAAAGATGTCGACGAATTGAGAACCTCCTCCTTTTTTGAAGTCGGTTAAAAATTTGTTGTTGAAAAGTCATTGTGTTATACACGACTATAATTGAGGTGGTAGTGGTTACATATACCTGATACAATTTTACTTAGAGTTTGATAAGGTAGTTTTGCACTAATTAGAATTAGGATATAAAACCAGTAGTTATCAAGTGTAAATGTTATAAAAAAGTTATAAACTTACTAAAAAAATTAGAGGCCTGGAACAACATCTAACTGTGTGTATTGTAATTCTTTTCAAATGTTTAAGCCGCTCGTTTTTTCTGCATCTCACGCATCGTTAATGTATGCTTACATTTAATTTTTATTATAAAACAGTTGGTTTTGAAATAAACATCTAATTCTTTCGACTTTAATAAAGAACATAATAATACGAGCGATGGCTGTAATACATCTACATAATGTACATTTGAATACGAAATGTTGCCTTTCATAGTTTGTCAGTAAGTAGATGAACTACTTACTTATAAACTTACTAAACGCTTACCAAACGATAATTAGCTGATTGTACAATTTTAATGATTTACGAATTTCAAAAACTTCTCAGAAAAACTGTCAATAACACAAACAAACAATCTTTTGTATTTTTATTTCTGTTAACATCATACAAGCTGAAAGTTTATAACCAAAAGTGCACTATCATTCCCAAGAGAGACCTTTTAAGTAGAAACTATTTAATTACTTAATTCCATTAAAAATATGACGATATGACGATAATCACTAGCGCTATGTTATTATTTCGAGTCAATTAAGAATTTTAAAATAACTTGTTATTGTAGGTGCAGTAGGAAAACTAGCATGTAATTATTGTCCCCGAAGGTCACACATGCCAAACATATTATTGTGACATGTAGTTTTCCTTTGGGGTTAGAAATTCCTAAATATGGGTGAGGTTATACATCAATCAAGTATAATGGCTGAGTTTTAAACGATGTTGAATATTTAGTAGGTGTTTTATAATTTTATTGTGCTCAGTATCTGAACTTATACCTTTTTTTTTTGTTTCCTGTGCGGTAATCCCCTCGGATACCACCGGTGGTTATGTCGGACTCGAACCGACCAAAAACCGCACGCCGTCTCGGGTACCAGTTGCCGGGAAACAAGGTGTACCCTAGGAAGGAAAACCCTGATACCCCGACGTACCTCGGGCCATCTACTTGGGTAAATGACCCCCTCCTGTGTGGGAATCCCTATGTCCCCTTTGTGCTCCCGAAAGGGGGGCGCCCGCTTCGAAGCGCGTCTCGCCACCACCCCGGCCTCTGAACTTGCACCTAAAGTCATCGACACAAACATACTTAAATTAACATAATTTAACGTCTTTCTCCATTCTGGGTAGACAGGGACTACAGGCCGCCACTTTCTTCTATCCTTACATATAATGTACCTTTTGCTTTCTTTACTGTCAGTTAACTGTCATAGAAGCCCATAGAACCCGCCCCGTCTTTTCGTTAAAGACGTAACTTTTGCGTTAAATACTTGTATTGGCAGCAACCTCACCATACCCTATACTGTCAATATATCTTTTCTCGAGCCACACTGCTCTTTAATATCTAAATTCCTGTTTCTGTCAGACAATCTAACTCCGCTTTATTTTACAACTAATAAATAATTATCACACATAGTAACAATTTTATTTAAGGATGCCGAATTAATGTGTAGATGGCCCGTGTCAAGGTCTCGTTAACCTCATTTTAACCGACATGGAAAAAAGAGGAGGTCCCCAAATTTAGTGTATTTTTTTCTGTATGTTTGTTACGCGATTTCCCCGTCCCCGAATTTCGGGGCCGATTTTCAAATTTTTTTGTAACCAAAACGATACAGGTACTACCTAGGTGGTCGGACACTCCGAAAATCAGAATCTGATAAGGGAATGCCAGAGAAATCGAGAGAAACCCTCAAATTTTATGGGCCCGACAATGTGCTTCATGTTTTTTTAACCCATACAGATTGGTAGTTATTATCTCATGTTGCTGATGATGGAAGAGTCCTAAACTTTTAGGAGTTAGGCATAACTCTTTCAATTGTTGAAATTGTTGAAATTCTTTTTTTTTTATTTAGTGGTATTTTGGTATTATTATTTTTTCCCACATTTACACAACGCCATCTAGTCCCAAACTAAGCAGAGCTTGTACTATGGGTACTAGATAACTGATATAAATACATATATACTTTTTTTTTTTGTAAATACATACATATTATACATAGAAACACCCAGACCAAATCAAACATTAAATGTTCATGCACACAAATGTTTGACTTGAGCGGGAATCGAACCCGCGACCTTTGGAATAGCAGTCCGTTACACAAACCACTACTCCATTCGGTCGTCAAATAATAATAATAATAATGTAATCTGGTTCATATTGACTTTTTCTTTCTTTCAAGATTTTTAGTAGGTGTGTTTAGGAGGCTCGCTGCATGCAGACTTTTTCACACTGAGTTCCCACCTCACTTTAAAACTTCTGGAAGATTGTACCAACTCAGTGTAACAAAGTAATAAGTTCTGACTCAGAGGAACCAGCAGTTAATCTTTAATGCATTGGAGCAACTCATTATTGCCGCTGATACATTTATTTTGTAACACTAATATAAATTAGCAATCATTTAGCAATTGTGAAATAGACTGCAGGAAACAAACAAGGTTAAAGAATTGAAACAAAAAAAAAACAATTTGGATTTGTGTTCAATGACCTCTTAGTAGTAGGTCCGTTATTTATTAATGCATACAGTAGTTGCAAGTGTTTAAGAAGGTAAGCATATTTTATGAAAATAAAATATGTTCTTTAATTTTTTTTATCCATTATACATTTCAGTAATTAAGTGCCTATTGTCGAAAAATTATATTATTAAATTTTGCATTAAAATATTGCTCTTATTTTTTCATTATAAATGTACAGCCTTAAGTTGACAAATAAGTACATGAGCTATCTGAGGATGCTTGTTCCCATCAACTTAAGAGTATATCTAATCCTGTTATCTTTCGCAACACTGTTAACCTAGGTAAGTCGCATGATCCACCTTAACCTGAGTTTTCTCTAATGGTCTAACCTGACTTGTCCAATATTCTTCAACATTACTTACGTATAAAAAAAGAAAAAACAGAATGTACATATGTAGGATTAATTAATTGTCTGTCAGTCAGTCTGTCGGCACGACCTTCTTCTTTGCTTCTTAGAAATCGTCAAATAACAATTCAAATCAAATATTTAAGTCAAAAGCCCCTTGGTGCTGTCGAAATCAAGTCTCTAATCAACGCCATAAGGAATATGACCTTTTGTGCCACGTATTAAGAGTGTTAGACATTTCCAGGTAATCTAAATTCAAAGGCTCAGCCTGTATTAAGTGTTTTTAAAGTCATGAAACATGAATAAGGTATAATAATTTATTCTAGCAAAAATTGATTTTCCTTTAATCATTGCACAGGACGAGACGCTGATTCTGCATTAATTAACAATAGTTGCTGCGTACATGCAGATGCGCCACAGTGCACATAAAAAAAGTCAATTCGCTTTATGTAGGAACGGTGTTGAATATACTGAATGAAAAACAAAGGAGTCCAAGACTATTTTCTATTTTGAGTTTTAAAGTGTTTTTTTTTTAAAAGATCGATTTGTAACAAAGGAAAATGTAGACTAATTACATTTTTGTGGCTCAAGTTCGGATGTTCGGAGAGGTCCTGTTCGAATGTTCGACACTGGTGTTCGTTCTTGCGCTAAACTAATATCATTCTAAAAATATGACGTTTATAGACAATAGATTGGCAAATGGCGAATGGCCCGTTTGGATTACAAAGAGGTCACGGGAAACGACTGCTGATCGTTGATATAAATTATATTTTGAAAAGAGTCCACAGATAAAATAAATGCGGTGCGTAACTAAAAAAAATCCAAGGGAATACTAATAATTTGACAAGTCCTATACACAGCCGTATGCGTTGCTTTGAAATTTTAAGAAAAAAAAATCACCAAATGATTGAATTAAGAGAATATGAATATACATTTATTAAGAGAAAGAAGAATAAAGATATCAAGAGAAGACACAACGATCTCCTGCCTAAAATTATTGGCATATGAATGACAACCTAATTAAATTAAGATCCAAAAACTCACATTTACAGCAAATAAAATTATATTATACAAAAACATTATTAGAAAATATTGATGTATTTACCCATAATATACATATTTAAAGTTTAGAACACTCAATCTAATATATAAAATTCTCGTGTCGCGGTGTTTGTTACCAAAGTCGGGTAGGTTTGAGAATCGGCCAACATCTATTTTTCATACCCCTAAATGATAAGGGTGAACCATGCCTAAACATTTTTTTTTATATTTTTTGCCATTTTTTTTTATTTTATTAATATGTCAAAACAATGTTTGCCGGGTCAGTTAGTATTCAATAAATG